TTAATCTGCGGCCAATCGGAAATTAGTGATTATAGAGAGGTCAAATTACTAATAAAAATAATATGTACGTTACAGATCATGTGGTGATAGTGATTATAAACGATTTGTGACTATAAAGAGGTAAATTAACCAAGTTAAGGTCCGTTTCAAAAAATAACGTTCTTATATAGAGGTGTGACTATATAGGGTGTGACTGTAAGGAGGTCTGACTGTACTTACCGATATGTATCTTGGAATTTTGCGCTCCTTTATTAGTTACACCTATGATTGAACGCTAAAGGTATGCTTGCACTAACAAGGCAAGGAGCGTGTCTTGGTGGAGCGTATCTTGGTGTAGCGTGTCTTGATAGGTGTAAATAGAGCCCTTGGTTTGAAAGTTTGTTGTTTAAGGTCTGAGGGTATAGGGTATACAGTGAAAGTCGATATAACGGACTGCGTTTTAATCTGTAATATCGACGAGTCCGTAATATCGACTTGTGAGTTTTATATCAGATATTATTTAGTATTAGTAAACAAATTCCGTTCCAGAGAAAAAGTCTGTTCCACTTTCACTGTGTATACCTTCACAAATAAGGGTGGTCGGATATCACTATTGTTACCGTATAGTTCCGAAAATAAGCACCCCCTTTAACAATAAGAGGTTCACTACTTCGTGTATTGTGGTGTATATTTATCGATTATTATACATAGTATGTCACCCGTCTTTGTTTTCCAAACAAGACGCACTGTCTAAACTGGATGACGATTGTCCGTAAAGGGATGAGTGGTCTTGAATTAGATTGCGATAGATGATTTGTCCAATGAGTTGGCCCATCCTAAATTGGGCTAGATATATATTAATATTTCGAATTTACCATATCATTGTGCTTATTCACGAGAGAATACGGTATTTACGCACGCTCTTTCTATTTCTAGATTAATAGACTTGTCTTTTAAACGTTTCGTAAAATCGGCTAAGCCACTCCTTTATTTAGCAATCGTTTTACAGTCTTCAACGTTTGTTCAATCAGAGGATGTCGATTCTAATCTACTACCAATGATTCAATTTCAGATCTATGAGTGTACTCGGAGAAGCTCTCGAGCGGGGAATTGAACTGAAACCCTGTCTCCTGCGTGACAGGAGAGGATACTAAGAAACTATGACCACAAAGTTAACAATAAACAATGAATATCTTTTGTTATGCATGATTACAATAAGACATATCAATACATTTGAAGACATAATAATGCCGTATAGTTCCGAAAATAAGCATCTCCCCAAAATTTTTACCTCCAAAAATAAGCACCTACACCACAATTAATTTATCACGAAATTATTATAACTATGAGTTGGGATGTCACTACCATGTGGTCACCTCCCACAAACTCGAAATTGTGACTTCCAAAAATAAGCATCACCATTGTTAAAGGGGGGAGTGCACTATCCCCTAGTCTGTATTAGTAGCCTTTGGATCCTCTGCTCTCATCTTCATAGACAAGCTCAGTAAGCTGGTCAAAAATGTCTTTGAGCATCTTAGTATTAGGGGTCCATTGCCACTGTTGTCAATTGGACTACATCTTGTGGCAGTGTGAATTGTGTGATGACCCCAAAACAATAAACACTGCAGTATCAGAGGTCCATCCAATACACCTTGCATTCAAATCCAAATATATGTAGTCCATATACTCTCAAAGTCTGAAAGATCTCAACATCACCATGCTTTGTCCCATTCTCACCATAAAATAGCTGACCTGCCTCCCTGCAGCCATATTCAGTCTCATTATCTTTCAAACTAGTAAGTCTCCTCATCTCCCATTACTTTTTATCTCTTACAGTTTTTTCTCATCAAGGATGAGTGATTGCATAATTCTCCCCTATCATATTAATATATCAAATGAAGATTAGATGATTATGATGGCTTGGCTGAATATGAATGTCTTTCTGGAAGAGACACATACCTGAATGGCTTCCAAATCTTGGATATTAATATCATTGAAAATCAATGACTGCCAGAACCATAGCTCAACTCTTACATGTTGTAAACTGAGTTCTGAATCCAGTCCCTATAAAAGTCATTTGCTTGGACAAAATTCTGATCCATTTCTTCAGATCTGAAAATCCAGTTCAAAGTCAGCTGTTGTCCTCTGTTGTAAATGAAACAAGCAGATATAGTAATAGACATAAAGGGGAAAAAATGGATACTTACAACATTGAAGCTGTTCATTATAATGTTAATGTGGCAGCCAATCAAATTTGCTTATCTCTTTTACAGCCTTTAGCAGTGTCACTTTTGGAAGCTAATGTATTGTCCGGAAAAAGAGACCTGCTTCATCAGCATTGAAAATATTCTCAAGTGGATATTGCTTCTACTACTGACATATCAATTGGTGATATTGTTTTTCAATATCAACCAACCATTTGCTGCTTCAAACTTTGAGAAACTTGTATATTATTGCTGCATACCATTGATTTAGTGGGTCCTTTATCGGGCGTGGACTGCTAAAGCTGTTGTTGATATCATATTATTATATACACATGACAGATCCCAACAGGAACTTTTTTTTTAAATATTGTCTGCCTTCTGTGAGGGCAGACTACATGTTGGTGGCGACAGTGGAGGAGGAGGAGGCCTTTCTCATGCTTTCTTTCTACGGTAACTGTCACGCGCGTTGGAAAGCATCTTTGCAAGTTAAAGATACTCATGTGCTGCGTACCATTGAAAACCATCTATGAAGGGTTTTTTTGACAATATCATAGCGACCTTGCTGTACTCGAGCATGCTCATTCCAAAACAGCTGAACAATCAAGATTATAAATTCTTGCTAGTTCTGTATCACTTTTATGTTCCTTGACAATTTCAACTTAATCTCGAGAGTAATTGACTGTCTATCTTTGCGCTTGTAGAATTCATAATTAACGAAGACATTCGTAAAGAATTAAGTTTTGATAAACAACACGTAAACGTTATTTAAATGACACGCGAAATCACTCCATTTAGTAGTTGTGTAACTTTAGGTTATATAAATGATATTAATATAGAATCTAACTGACAAAAAAAAAAGAACATATGTTCTTATAAAGCCGTTTGTTTTTTATAAAACTGGGGATATAACCGGAGGTGGGAAGGGTATGACTGTATTATAATCGTAATAAACTATTCGACTGTTGTCTTTATTTATCATTAATTTCACACAAATGCCGGCAAAATCACTGAGATGCCGAGCTTCCACCCGAACGCCAATACATCATGTCACTTACTCTTGGAACTTCGAACGTACTCAGTTCAAATCATCAAAGTGTCCATTCTTAACGGGTTGTCATTTGCTCTCTTTCTTAATTCATAGCAAGACATCTTCCCATCATGATAGACGAAATACAAGTTATAATGAATAAGAGATTTGTCAGAAACCTTGTCATGCTTACTGACAAATATTCCTTAAATTGAAAACCATAAATTAGTAACGTGTTTGTGTTTTAGATCAAGGAAATTGCAAATATTTACCCAACAGAGGCACCGTTGAACGTGATGCAGGAAGGCGTTTCTCAACGCGAAAGAAATACTTCTCATTTCCATTCTCATCATGCAATCTGTCACGTATTGAAGTGTCAACAATAAGCAATTGCCAATATACTTCGCCATTTATGAGAACTTACTTGAGAATTCTGACTAGTGCAACTTTCCCGTTTTTACTAGCAACTACGGCGAGCGATAGATCGGGTATCCACTGTAGGGACAAAAATTTGGGGTCAATGTGTTATAACTTAAAATTACGCCAAGCGCTTGGTTATCCTCACCTCAGTTATATTCACTGAATCGGAAATATCATGCCCAAACGGAATGCGAGAATCCATGTGGATAACACGCTTCTCACAGCATAGCTGAGCTAGACGTTTCTTAGGATCCAGAAGGTACAAGTCATACAAAGTACCGAAGAGAACAAGATCCGTCGGAAGATTATCTGTGTCTGTTGTAGTAGTAGAGACTGTCTGTGGTATAGCGTCAGGAAAAGTCGGAAAAAGAAGAGGTCTGCGGATCCCATCGTGAGTATTAAACGAAGCAGATGGATGAAAAGAATAGCTATCATTGTCAATAATATCAAACGGAGTAGACGGAATAATACGAGGTCTGTCGCTTTCGTTGCGAGCATTAAACGAAGCAGTCGGAGGCGAGCTAACCGCCAAATCATAGCGTAGTAGTGTTATAGTTGTTCCGTCAACAGTTATGGATCTGGGTAAAGTGGGCAAAGCTCTTTCTTGATAAACTGCTCCGCTATAATTATTGCTAACATTGTTATTATTATTAATGGTATCAGAATGATCATTCGAACGAACGGTTGTTTGCTCCCTACTCGGAGATTGTGATTGAGCGTCATCGTCAACTGTTGCGTGATTGCTATTCTCGTCACTCTCTCCATTCCCTTCGAGCAAATCTAGCAAATCTGCATCATCATCGGAGTCTAGCAAATGAGTAGCTATAGACTCGTCATCTGAGATAGAAAGTGACTCTATGTCAAACAGGGAATCGTTTTCATCGTAATAACCATCGGAGAATTCGGTATCCTCATGTCCAGTGCGCACTCCTTCAGATAATGGGCTTTCACTATCTCCGTCACCTATATCAAAACTGCCAAGTTCGTGTGAAGATGCCGAGTCAGTGTCATCAAAGTTGTGATTTCTGCGCAGCAGATTCGTTTCATGGTTCGCGTTTGCTTGTACAGTTGGAACATGATTTGATGTAGTTTGACGACCAGACGTGGGTGTTGTTCGAGTAACGCTTTCAAATGATGAAGGAGACACAAAGCAGACTGTCCATCCCCTAAGCAAATCGAGAGATCATATAAGTGTAAGGTACTTTAAAGACTATATATCAACAATTGTTAAAGCCCTCACCAAAAGCCGCCGACAGTTCGCGTCAAAATGTGCTCCCCAGTATGAACATTCCATACACGACACGTACGGTCTATGCTGCATGATACAAGAAACGTCCCGCAAGGACTGAAGCATATATTCGGTATGTTGTGCAAATGTCCACTTAGTACAGTTCTATCCCTCTGGGCCGGTTCATGCTTATCTTTAAGTCGACACACCACATCTGCATATTGTGCCGGATAATCGCCCGTCCCTGACAGTTGAGATTTGGGTTGGTCCCCAGTGGAAAGCAATCCATTTCTAAAGTTGAATATGGTAATTTCTTCAAAGTAACAGTTAGAACTCATGATACATGCATACAATTACAAAGATTTGAGATGAAGAAATAAGAAAGCAACCACGTGAATTCGCACTAACTGCTAATAATCGAGAAGGCCCGTGCATTGCTATTCCCCATGTGGACTCATTGTTGCTTTGAAAAGTAAGAGCCATGCAATCAATATGACCCTACTCCAAGTGCAGCAAACGATGAACGAAATTGTTTGTATACTTACGTCAAACATATAGGATTACGATCAAGAGCTGACGTGAACCAGACACGTATGTCACCTCTTGATCCAACACTCGCGAGAACCTCTTCAGTACCAAGCTTCCCAACTTTAATCGCGTTGATCTCCTTTGTCTGAGAAAATAGGTTGAGTCTTAAAATGCCCAATAACCTAACAAATGGGTCAATACTTGAAACCTTACAGAAAAATTATCGTATGCAGGTCCCAACGTTTCGTGCGGAGGATGTAAGAGCTTCATTATTGGATCAAGCGTTTTATCACTTCTTGCGTTTAAGCGATAAACGTGAATCTCGTCATAAATGGCAGCAAAAAACACAGAGGGATCCACTTCAGACACTGCCAAGAGGTTCATTCTCTATAAAACAAAAACTGTTAGCTTTATGTCGTAGTCTGATTCGTACGGCACGTCTTTTTGAATGCAATACTTGCCCCAAATTTGCACCCATTAACTGTAATATCGTGCTTTTCGAATACCATATGTACCTATTAAAATAACTTAGTATAATAGTAGTAATTGGCCTCTTTAGTGTTTTTTTTCAAATTACCTCAATGGAATGATAATCCATGTCGCTTATTCAGTGGGGGGGGGGGGAAAAGACAAGAATTAAAAGTAATAATGGCATGATGATAATGTAATCTGTAATTACGCCACATGATTTTCAGCCACAACGGTAATAGTAATGTTTCACAATGCACTTTAAACTTTGTTGTTTTTTATGTTTCTAAAATTTTCCCGAAACGTATAGGTTTCTTTAGAGCTTATTATTATGAAATTGTAGATCCACTGTCACATTGTCACAATGTTTATTACCAATAGACTTATTATTCAGCTGGGAATTTTTTTTCTCGAGTTGAACCACTTTTAACCGATAAGCAAAGTGCCTAGAAGAAAGACTGGAACATTAGAAAGTGGAAAATATTATCCGGAGTGATGAGTCTTGCTTCAAAATTTTAGAAACGATGGGCCGATTCGTATATGGCGAAGGACCGGAGAACGTTACGATATTGAAAATCTCGCACCTTTAGTTAAACGCGGCTGGAGGAATCATGGTATGGGGAAGCTTTTTGGGAAGAGGTATGATCCATTGACAGTAGATGGAAAGATGAATCATCAAGATTATATAATAGACCTCGAAACCTCGAGATTATATAATCTTAGATGAAAATCTTTTGCCATCAATTCAATGGTAAAGATTATAATTATGCTTTCCAAGATGACAATGCCCGTATGCATACAGCAAAAAATGTAGTCAATTGGATTAGGGAGAAGAAAATAAAAATCTTTACCTGTCAATCTCCCCACCTTGAAAGGCGTCTGAAAAACCGTAAACAACATCCCCAAATGCCAAGAGGAATGATCACTAATCCCTTATGAAACATATTCCAATTTAATTAAGAGCCTGTCAAGAAGGCTTAAGGCATGTATTTCTAATAATGGATGGCCAACCCCAAACGTAAAATTAAAGATCGGCGAAATGATTTTACTTTGCAATTAATTATTTATTGCCGAATGTTTCAAAATTTACATGCGAACGCGAATGCTTGAAAACCTAAGCTACAAACTGTTATTATTTTTTCTATCGTTGTTACATCAAATTTTGCGTAAAGTAAAAAAATAAAATAATTTCCGTCCGGATACTTTTTACCAAGGAGCGTAGGAATAACACACGTATATTTTCAAATTGTTCATCTAAGTTATTTATATCATTAATTAAGGTGTCGCTTTTCTATCAATATGAATCTGCTTTATTTAAAACCCCATAATCGTATAATAAGTCTTTAAGATAATCATTGAGCGTAAACACCAAGGGTTTCTTATATTCCTCAACGAGATATGATACATCACTTATTGTATCATTGAAACCGGTTTTCATCTAGACGAGTATTCTACTGTCAGACCAATAAGTAAGTGGGTTTAAAGTTTTTATCCGTTATTGTATCTATTTCTATTGTAATTATGATCACTTTCTTCATCGGTTCATTTTCTTTATTGACTATTGTCTGAAAATTCTATTCCAGATCATTAAATATAAAGATGTATGAGTGGAAAAATAGTAATAGGATTTGGGATCGCCTAAAGCTAATGTATTTTCGAAATAAAAAATATTATTACTATGGTGGGAAAGATTACTTTTGTGCTCACAAAGCTTTGCCTTGATGGACAAAAATGATCTGTTATTCATGCAATAAACTTGTATATGTGGAATAGAACACTTGTCAATAAGTGAAAGACGTGTATATGATAGATTGAAGGGCAAGTTTATATATTCACTTTTTTGTCATAATAATTATATTACAAATAAATTTGGTGATAATAAACTATATAGTTATGCTTTATAGTTAGAAAATGTTACCAGAAGGAGTAGGCGCGCAGGCCCTTTTGAATACTCAAAGACAGAAGGGATATTCGAGAGATACATCCACCATGCATAAACGGGCAGGTTTGGATGGATAAGCTACGTTCATTGACTCCTTCTCCTTTGCCATCAAAGCCTTTTGCATTAATTAAGCGTAGCGCAAGCGTACCAGAGATTTCGCCTATAGATTTGAAGAAGCCGAGTCTTGATTGATGCTGAGGAATATTTAATTCTGTGCGAAAGAATGCAAATAGGAGATAGATTTAATATTTTTCAACTGAATATTAACATTATTTATTTAGCCGAAGGCACGATGCATAACTTATCCGTGATATATCGCTTAGTGGAACCGTTTCGTTTGTCTGTCACACGCGGGTAAAATATTGTGATCTTGTAAATAGTAACAAACAAAAACAATAAAAAAGAACGATCAGAATTCTTAGTTTAGCGATCTTTATTAGCGACCAGACGCTCCAACATGATTAAGCTTAACAGCAACTAGTATTTGGAAGGAGCCTCCTACAATCTAAGTAAATAAATTTTTTTAGCAGGTAAAATGCATAAATAATAGCAATATAAGCGAGCAACCTGAAACCCCCAGAGACACTGTGCCTGAAAGAAACTGAAACATAATATTTTATTTAGGTAGCTTATAATACCAGTAGATGTTGTTATATTGATTACTTAAAATAATGGCTTGGAGAGATAAATGTAAACTTTCGAAATTGACAAATTAATGTAATAATGATAACATTATAACGGCAGTTTTCTCCTTGAGACGAGCCTAATAGTTTGGAGAAAAATCATCGCATTAATATGCAATTATGTGTCGTATGAAGGTTGCGGGAAGGTGAAGGAAAAAAAAAGCTTAAATAATTGGACTAGAATTTACAAGTGTTACAATAAAACGATTGGTATCTAATCTATTAAGTTAATTATATATTTTTAAGCACGAACCTCAGAGGAGGCAGTTTATGTAGACGATTATGTCTGTAGTTTCATTACAAGAAGATATTTCAGTTGCATACTTAGGACCAGCTGGGTCTTATACGCACGAGGTTTGTTCGTTGACGGATTTGTTTCACATGATTTTACCTGTAGTAAACGAGATACCGATGAGGTTATGCATCATCTTGTAGGCTGCTCAAGAGAGATTTGTGGGCAATAATTTTGCTTATAAACCATATGCGTCTATAAGCGGTGAGTGGGGAGCTTCTGTTCTAAGATCTATTGGATTATGTTTATTGTTAACAATTAATTCCGTATAATAGACATTTTTGATGCGGTGGAAAGTAGACGCACCACCTGCGGAATTGTACCATTTGAAAATTCAACTTTTGGATCTGTGGTTACTACCTTGGATTGTTTCATAGGTAGCAAACTAAGAATAAGTGCCGAAGCATATCTTCCGGTAGATAGGGGTTATATTCAGGCTGATGTTACAAATTGAGTCTTACATCTATAACTTATCACTTACTACTTCTTTGAAGGTACATCACAATTTACTGTCCAAGTCCAAACTTTCTGAGTTGAAAAAAGTATATAGCCATCCACAGGTATGTTCAAAAGACGAACATTTTCAGCACTGGAACGATCATAATATCTGACACACGCGACACCCAGGCACTCGGGCAATGCAAGAAGTGGTTAGCAACGCATCTTCCTGGTGTAGCTCTAGTTGAGGTCGCATCAACAAGCTATGCTGCAGAGTTAGCAAAAGAAGATCCTGAAGCGGCCGCTATAGCGAGTTTAATGTGTGCGGAATTGTATTCACTGAACGTAATTGAGCGTGATATCGAAGATGGAAAGAGTACGTTTTTTAGGCAACTACAACTTTTATTTAAATTAAATCGTTTGCGTCGTAATTTAACTTCGTTTATTCAATTTACGTTTAGACAACACAACGCGGTTCTTCATTCTGGGAGGATCAACTAGTACTCGTACTGGCGACGATAAAACATATTTTCTCTTTACAGTAGATCATCGCAAACCTGGAGCTCTTTGTGATGCTCTCAAGGTTTTTAAAGATCATGAGATTAATTTGACTAAGATTGACTCTCGTCCATCTCAACAAAGACCATGGCACTATGCGTTTTTTGTCGAGTTTCAAGGACATTTGGAGGATGAGAACGTACAGGGAGCTTTGGAAAAACTAAAAGAGCTATGTCCAAATGCCAAAGAATTAGGAAGTTACCCCAATCAGAGACCTAAAGAAGACACGTACTAGTAGAAAGTATCAGTTCCCGAGTGACGGATATATTTATAAACAATTTGTCAACGCTCACATACTAAATCAATCACTGACAATTATAATTCGGTTATAAACTTTTCGGTTGTAAGAGTCGCCCTTCGCCTTAAGAGTTTATCAACTTGTTGCATCTTGTGATCCTTCTCAAGGTCTGCTGGATGCAAATTCAATTGAAGTATCTGATGAAGAGATAATTGATATCACTACAGTTGAGTTAATACGACCATAATTTGTAACTTTCGTTCTATCTTTTGTCTTATTTGTCGGCCTCTTTCCTTTTCGCAATTGCAAGTCTCATATGAGTAGCCATTATAGAAGCATGCATTACATTTGATTATGATTGGCGATCGGCATTCTCGAAAATTTTCGTGGGGGTTTCTATAATTTTTGAAAAGAGCGATAAATATCTTCACTAATACACATAACGACTGTTGGGTTTTCTAATAATCCAATGATATAGGAAAAAATACCAGAAAAAAATAATCGTGTCAATTTATAAACCCTTTTGTAGATAAACAATTATTTTTCTTGCAATCATATTTCATCTTACCTTCTTCGTCTGTGAAGAACCAGGATGTCAGATGCTGGAAAATGCACAAAGGGTATTATGAAGCAACAGTGGCCATGTGCGGTGTGTCGTGTCTAGTGTGTCCTGAGTTGTGTAAGTTGGTATAGCAGCGCAAATGAACGGCTTCAAATACAGTCCGCATTCCATTCTCAACAGCTAGACCTCTACACAGACGTGTTGCGCGATGTGTACAACGTTATTGTGTGACCAATGATATTGATGCGCAACGTACGAAAATGGCGCATTCAGCATAAACCTAGTACTAGTTCCTTCTCGCGTAAGCTGCTAAAGATGGGTAATCAGAAGCTTAATTTTCGTATACTTCCAATATTAACATAACTGCCTATAAATCACGTCAAGAGTACTCTTCATAATAACTTTCGTCTATTTGCCGAATTCATTGTCTAAACATTTCTGAATCGAATTTCCTTCTTTGTCATAATAGTAATTAAAGAACTCGGACGACCTACACACTTAGTTTATATGGTACTTAGAAGACCACGAAATAAAGTGAATTGCAACTGTTTTATTTAATTTAAAGTTTTGTGCTTATAATAATATTATGCGATTCTATTCAGATTATCTATCCTTTACATATCAAGAACTTGTTGTACAGTAAACTATATGGCAATTAACTAACCCATACAGGAACACCGTTAACGTTCTTTGATGCAACAGCTTCACCAACTAATGCCTCAGCTAATAGTTCATGCTCCTCTCGGATATGTTGTACCTTGTTTCCAGTGGCAGGGGATGCAGTTGGAGGTCGAGTAGCTGGTTTAGCAGCTTTATCTAAAAGTGAACATAATTTAGCAAGTACTGCATACAAAATACGTCAATTATCTGCAATTCTTACCTTTATGATGCTCGGTGTTATTGGCAACAGTACGAATCCTGGGGGCTACATATGTCCACCCTCCTGAGTTCAAAGGCTCTTCTTGAGCCCAAACTATTTCAGCATTGGGATACTTGTCGATATGCTCGGCCACGAGATCATACGGGAAAGGATTCAATTGCTCTAGTCTGGATATCACGGCATTATCTATCTTGTTTGCCTCTCTCGCTTTCAATAAAGCGTAATACACCTGTCCAGAGCAAAGAATATAACGTGTGATTTTCTCGGGTGGAGCGAGGTGATCTGGATGAGGATCCGGAATGTAACGGGTAAAGTAAGTTTTGCCGGTCATTTCGGATAAAGACGATCGTGCCATTGGATGCCGAAGAAGAGCTTTGGATGTAAAGCAAATGAGCTAACATAAAGAATATACGGTTCTTTAGTTTTCAATGTACGTGTAGGTAGACAGGATAATGAAACGATTGTATTTACCGGCTTCCTGAATTCACGATGAATCTGCCTTCTCAACGCGTGAAAATAATTAGCAGGTGTGGTCGGGTACACAACTTGCATATTACAATCCTGGTGCTGCCTTGCCATCTTCTCGGGCGAAGGAAATATATAGGGGTGATCGTCACACAATTGTAAGAATCTCTCCAACCTTCCACTCGAATGTTCTGGTCCCTGTCCGTCATATCCATGTGGCAACAAAACAACCAAGCCTGTTCTTTGCAACCATTTCTTCTCACCAGCAGCGATGAACTGATCGATAATGCATTGTGCATTATTAGTAAAATCACCGAATTGTGCTTCCCATAATACAAGTGCGTTAGGATCTACTAAAGAATACCCAAGCTCGAATCCAAGAGTACCAAATTCAGATAAAGACGAATTGCAGACAGTGAAATGAGCTTGTCCATGACGTAAATTGTTCAATGGAACGTATTGCTCCTCAGTTTCCTGGTCGTGAAGGACAGAATGTCTTTGTGAAAATGTGCCACGTTCGACATCTTGTCCGGAGAGACGCACGTGTTTGCTCTCTAAAAGCAATGTACCAAAAGCTAGACCTTCAGCAGTCGGCCAATCAATATTATCGCCGCTCTTAATTGCCGCTGCTCTTGTTTTCAAGATTCTTGTTAGACCCGGGTGAATATTAAAGTTTGTAGGATGTGTGCTAATTACTTCACCAACATGATTTAATGACTCGATTGTGGCACCGCTCGGATAAGATGCCACTATCTCCTCTGCAAGTTCCTTGGGAGATTTGAAGCCTAATGTGCAATGTAAACGCAATGAGTAACTAAATTATAGCGCTATAATAGCATAAATGATATATAATAAGTGCCAACGAATTTACCATTCCATGAACTCGATAGCCATTCTCGACTTGTTGTTTCATAGCCACTGCTCTTAGCATAACTTTGTTCTAACAATTCCCATACCCACTTTCTGTGTTCCGCAATCTCTTCTGCAGTGAAGACGTCATCATTAATTAACTTTTGCACGTACTGTTCTAATATTGATACTTGCTTACTAATTTGCTTGTACATTCTGGGATGCGTAAAACTAGGCTGATCAACTTCATTGTGTCCATATTTTCGGTAGCATACAATGTCAATAACCACATCCTTTCTATACGTCTGTCTCCACTCAGCAGCCAGTTGACATACAAATGTAACTGCTTCCACATCATCGCCGTTGACATGGAAAATTGGCGCGTTAACTACTTTAGAAATATCAGTACAGTATGGCGTCGAGCGAGCAAAACGTGGATCTGTAGTGAATCCAATTTGGTTATTTACTACAATGTGAACAGTACCCCCAGTCGTATAGTTAGGAAGATCATGGAAACCCATTGTTTCATATACTACTCCTTGAGCGGCAAACGCAGCATCACCGTGTAGCAATAACGCCATTGATCGAAGTCGAAAAGCTTCATCATTCATGTAGAACTGGATAGCACGTATCTTCCCAAGTACTACAGGATCGACAGCTTCCAAATGAGACGGATTTGCAGCCAATGACAAATGAACACGTTTACCAGAAGGTGTCGGACGATCATAGTTCATTCCCAAATGATATTTCACATCTCCAGAGCCTTCTTCTGATGGACCAGTTGTACCACGGAATTCACAAAAAATCGATTCGTTGGGCTTACGAATGACGTTGCTTAATACATTCAAACGACCTCTGTGCGGCATTCCAAGTACTATTGATTCAACTCCCAGGTCGACAGATCTATCAATCTATCATATCAACGTCAAGAGAAAGTGATGAGTACAAGAAATGCAGAAAGCTTACGTATATTGTCCAACTGAATGGACCGATTAAAAGTTCCAAATTCACGTACCAGCGCTTTCATTCCCGGAATCAAACTTTCACCTCCTTCCAATCCAAATCTTTTTTCATTTGGGTATTTCGTCGCTACAAAGCGTTCAAATGAATCCGACCAAATCAATCGATCAAGTATCATTCTCTTCTCGGCAGTGGTGTATTTGTATGGTTCAGGAATTTCAATACGTGATCTAATCCAATCACATTGGCCTCGATCCGGAATGTGAATATACTCAATCCCCATGGTTCCACAATACGTCTTCTGACATGCTTCTATGATTTCGCGAAGTGTCATCTGTAGAGTTGTGGAAGCAAATCCTGGCAGTATACCAGGACCTAAAGAAAATGTTTTGTCTAAATCCCTCTCTGTGAATCCATAATGAGCCGGCGCAAGTTCCCTAGCAGCTGCATCTTTATCTCCAGTTGTGATCCCGAGTGGATCTAATTTTGCGATATTGTGACCACGTACTTGATAGGCCCTTACCATTAATTGCACTTTCATATGTTCAGTCACATCAGCGGTTGCAGATTCGGTATAAGGCGACGCAAATGCTCCTGTGCCAGTTGTAAGCGGAACCAGTGTTGGTGGAGGTTGATATGCTATTCCGGATTTAATTCCGGCCTGCATATTTCGAAAATATACCCGCCACGACAGATGAACCGAGTTTGGATCCTTCTTCCATGCTTCATACATTTCCTCTATATAAGTCGCTGCATTGCCTTGTAAGAATGCATCATTAATAGAGGGTGCTTCTTGATATGCATTTACGGTTGACGCTTTAGTGCGAATTGTAGTTACAATTGGCGAGGCGAAACGGGTTTTTGTTAAGGAAGGTGAAAAGGTCAGACTACGCAGACGCACGAGAGACAGTGTCGGTCTACTCGTACGTAGAAATAGCGAAGTTGCCATGGTGTGATATTTAATAACTTTTCTGTGTGAATCGTGTCGGTAGATCTAACAAGTAACAAACGCTTACTAATTCTAAAGACCATTTCGGTGTGTATAAAGATATATCTAATGACGCCACACTCGCCACACTCGCCACAGCAAACTTCTAGCTGACATGTGCATATTAATAAGCGTTACGTATCAAATATTTGCTCTACACTATTTTATTCACGGCTTGTTCTCGAAGAGAAATAAGTTATGATTTCATCGATAATAAATATATACGATCTTTCTTCCATACACCGGTCAATCTATTTCCTTGCGTATTAGCCAGCTACGTTAGACCTGCACTTCATTTGTTAGACAATAAAACTGTCACGTTAAGCGAGAATCCGACAAGTGTTGTTGATACCACCATTGCTTAACTGACACATACAAGAACCTGATATAACTAACAATTTTATTAAGTGACGTAGCGCCAGACTTAAGAATTTGAATTAGACTGTCAAAGCTATAAATTCTTATTATCAATTACTGTCAATCGATTGATATTCGGCCATTGCACGGAAGGCTTTGTTACTGAATTACGTAATAAAGTTGACTCTTACATATGTTGCATCTCCAGTATTTGGTTTTACTTTAATTTATTTTTTACTTGAGTGGAATGAATCGCGATGAATGAGTAGCACCGATACCAGGACGACCATGTTTAACGGGTTTGTAGGTAATGGAAAATTCGGCTAGATAATGTCCGATCATCTCCGGCTAAAAGAAAAGAAGAAACATGTATCAGATAATCAAAATGCAAACGATACCACCGCGAACGAAATCCCTGTAATTTGGTTCCTTCCTCACACCCCAACCAACCTTAATTTCAACTTGATTAAACGTCTTTCCGCTGTAGACTCCAACAACTGAACCGATCATTTCCGGTACGATAATCATATCTCTCAAATGTGTCTTTACAGCTGCTGGTTTCTCGTCTGGTGGGGCGTTTTTCTTGGCCTTCCTGAGTTTTTTGATCAAACCCATAGGTTTTCGCTTTAAACCACGCTGAAATCTTCGACGAGCACGGGCATGAACAAGCTCCATGAGCTGCTCGGAAGACAAGTCAAGAAGCTGATCAAGGTCGACTCCACGGTAGGAGAACTTTTTGAATACACGTTTCTTTTTGATTTCAGCTTGGGAGTCCTCCTTTGGAGTTTAAAAGCAATATTAGTTTATAATTATATATATAAAGTATTGAAGTTTTCATCGGGAGGTTCTTTGTATGGATGATAAGAAATCTTCCATAACATTGTTCCATCCATCCTGTAATAACTATAATGCACACGTCGCCGATAGTATATCTCCGTCCACGCCCATAATCCATACCATTTTAATAATCTTACTACCCCAGGGCAAATGTAAAAGAGGGTAACAAATTTCAAAAATCACTTCGTAGAAGAATGCCGATAAAGTATTCTGATTGGTTGGATTACACGTGAATTCCAAATTTCTTTTTTTTCTATTGAAAAAAAACTTGCAAACCGAAAATCACCCGCAATAATAATAAATAGCAAACTATGTACGTCGAACGATTTGTCGACTTTTGAAAGCAACAAGAACCGAATGTGAATAACTCATGCCCGAGTAATTACTGTTTAGGTCTCGACTTATAGTGAAAGGTCTCCCAAATGACCTTACAGATGCAAAGTTTCGAGAACACTTTGCCGCGAAAGGCGAGATTACCGACGCCAAGATAATGCGCACCCCGTAAGTTATCGATAATAGCTGGAAAGATTTGGGACTGTGTTTTACTGATAGAAGTGCCGCATCGCATTCGTGAAGTAATCGATGGTGTCTTGCTAGGGTTCGTCTTTGTAGCATAACCTTGCCAAATAGCTGTAATTGAACTAATTAGTCTACTATTATAATGCAATAGGCTGGGTTGAGAGTAAGAATATATCAAGAGTCAAAAGTAAATAAATAGGGTCTAATACCTGTTGATTGTCCATATACATTAATGGGTATGCATTTCGGGATCAGTGATGATGAGTTGGTTACATGTATTGCCAAACGTACAAGATCATTATAGCACTTTTGTAACAAAGATAACTTATTTTATAATTCACAAATGCACACTGTCTGTTTCCCCCTACCTGCTATCTACGCGATCGCCCGCTCCCATTCAGTAATGGCAAGTCTCGTCGTTTCGGATTTATCGGATATCGTACAGAACAACAGGCCAAAGACGCGTTAGAATACTTCAACAATACCTACATTTACACATCCAAAATTATAGTTCAATTTGCAGTACCCGTAAGTTCGAAATCAACAATTGTTTCGTAAATATAATATTATTTATCTTGTATATATTTTCCAGGTAGATGATCGATTATTGCCTCGTCCATGGAGCGCTCACAGCGTTGGATCGTCTGCATATAAAAGAAGACATACAGCGGAAAATACGCAGCCTGTAAAAAGCGAAACAATCCAACAACGTGGAGGAAGTAATAAAAGCAATAAAGCTTCAGCCATAGAGGACAAAAAACTCAAAGAATACCTTGAAGTCATGCAGCCGCGATCTACATCTAAAATATGGGCTAATGACGACTCGATAACGTTGACTGGTGCAGAGGATATTGTTATTAAAGGTGGTAAGGAAGATGAGTTATACGAAGATCTGCCTAAGAGTAAAAGTAATCATGCTTCGAAGATTCCCGAGGATGTTAACAACAGCGTGGAGCAGGAACAAAACGATGACGAACAATCAAACAATGGCATTGCGGATAGTAGTGAAATAAATAAGGATTTATCTTTATCTGATATGGATTGGCTGAAATCAAAGATGCGAAGGAAACTTGACTTGAATGAAAATGAGGAGGATGTAAGTGCTTTTCGGCTGCTCGTTTGTGTCAGCTAGGGTTCTCTTTTTACTTAAGTTATATTACAAATGAAGGATATTCCAGAAAGCTCAAGCGAAGCCTCTGCTCCCTCAGAGAATGGATCAAATCATAGTTCAATCGATGATCAAGCAGAAGGATATTCATCAAATATTGGCTTTTCAGAACGAGGCGATAATGATATCGTTAAGGCAAATGCAAGAGCGAATATGACAAATGACAAATCTCAAGAAATTACAGAAAATAGCAGCACGACAAACGAAACGACAGTTCAAACCGTGCCTTCTGAAGAAACAATAGCGGAGACTGGGCGACTATTTGTTCGTAATCTCCCTTACGTCTGCACCGAGTCTGATCTCCGCAACACATTTAATAAATTTGGTCCACTTGCAGAGGTAATTGGCAACTGACGATGAATGCTATTGAATTATTCTACTTGTCTCTCACTATTTGGGCTAACTTTTCAGGTTCACATGCCGATTGATCGTAATTCGAAGAAACCCAAAGGGTTCGCGTATATACTCTATCATATTTCCGAACATGCAGTAAAAGCATACATTGAGCTAGATAATAAATTCTTCATGGGACGCTTATTACATATCATTCCGTCACGGGAGAAACCGAATAAAAAGGATGAGTATGCGCATATGACACACAAGCAAAAGAAAGAAATGAAACAAAAAGAAATAGCTGCCAAAGATTTTAACTGGAGTTCTTTATATATGAATGTGGGTGTTATAAGCTATAAAAGTTGCGGACGGTTTTATTAAGAAAGGAATTGTATTCATTTTTTTTTTTTTAATTTCAACTCATTAGCCAGATGCAGTGGCAGAGTCAATTGCACATAGGCTAAACGTTAAGAAGTCAGACATCCTTAATCCTGAGGCGGATAACATGGCTGCTAGATTAGCATTGGCAGAAACTCACGTTATACAAGAGACTAAAACATTTTTGAAAGAAGTGAGTATATAATCCAAGCATGTAATATAGTAGCGTTTTCATTCTAAACACGATCCATTATATTTGTTATAGAATGGGGTATCACTGGACGCTTTTGCAAACAAGGAAAGGAGCGATACTGTTATTCTCGTAAAGAATATACCTTTCAACGTTACAGAAGACGAATTAAAAGAGTTATTTGAGTGGTATGGAGATCTTGGACGGGTGAGTCATACAATGATATATCGACTACAAAATACCTTTATGCATTTGTATGACCTTGCATCCTCTTACTTTTTTTTACCGTTTCTGTCATATAGGTCCTCCTTCCGCCTGCTAAAACAATCGCAATAATTGAATTCCTACATCCTACCGAAGCCAGATCAGCATTCACGAGTCTGGCGTATCAAAAATTTAAAAGTTTACCTCTGTATCTAGAGAAAGCACCAGTCAACATTTTCCCCACTACACCAGAAGCCACACAACCTGTTTCCGCCAACGATATTGCTGAGCCAACTTTGGAAGATGGTAAAGAGGATCTAGAAGCAGATGCAGTAGCTACACTATTTGTGAAGAACTTGAATTTTAATACTACTGAAGATGGGCTAAGAGAAGTGTTTAAGAATGCACATGGTTTGAAAAGTGTGAGAATTAAGATGAAAAAAGATCCGAAAAATCCAGAGAAATATTTGAGCATGGGCTTTGGATTTGTCGAGTATGATTCTGTGAAAAATGCAAAGAATGCAATGAAGGCCCTGCAGGTCAGTGAAATGTGTTGACTTTGTGATAATGACAGAAGTGAGTAGACGGTAACCGTTCTCGTATTGTGTTATTTAGGGTTTTGTACTTGATGGTCATGCGCTTCAATTGAAATTTTCTAACAAGGGCGTAGACCCTGCTCAGCAAAGACGTGAAGAAGATGCAACAGCCAAGACAAAGGCAGTGTCGACTAAGGTTATTGTTAAGAATGTTGCCTTTGAAACGACCAAGAAAGATCTAAGGGAATTATTTGGGTAAGCTATGGACGAGAGTCAAAGATGTCCAGCGTAGCGGTGATTATGCTCTCTATTAATCTTGGTAATATTCTTACAGTGCGTACGGTCAGATTAAATCACTCCGCATTCCCAAAAAGTTTGATGGTACGTCGCGTGGTTTTGCATTCATCGAGTTTTTGACCAAGCGCGATGCCCGTAACGTAATGGAACAGCTATCTCATACACATTTATTGGGGAGACATCTTGTTTTAAATTACGCCGAGGAGGATAAGAACGTGGAAGAATTGAGAGAAAAAGTAAGAAGAGAGTATGTAGGAGAGACTGGGAGCGGAAGAGCAAAAAAGAAAAGTAAAATCAACCTAGAGGAATGGCAGAAGAGTGTTGAGGGAGAAGATATGGACGAAGACTAGCAGTGCCACGAAATGTGTAAATTAATAAAAAAGGAGACCGCTGCGTTTTAATAGCTCGAAAAGTTCTCTAAATTCGAACGTCAGTCTTCTGATTACGGATATTGTTAGTTTTTGATAAATGCGCAGTTTTTTTTTTAAAAAAAAAAAAACATTTAGAATCAAGCCAGTCTGTTGAACGATAGATAAATAGCGTTCATTTCAGTTCCGTAGCTTTCAGGGCCAGTTATTATTCCGAGTGAAAATAATTATTCCTGAATATTTCCTGATCGTGAACTCCGAGAAATTATTTTTTTCGATAAGAAAATGATGCGGTTTTGCAGTGAAGTGCAGTCCGTAAAAAATAACCGCGTGGACGAAATTAGAAAAAAAATTTTGCTGTTAACAAGGTGGAGATCTGGTTGATAAAAATGTAATTAATTTCTTCTTGCAACAGAGAGTTTTTCCGAAGTTTCTCGGCTCGCAAGAGGAGAGTTAAACACTGTTCTTACAGGATTAAAAAAGCAGGCTCATTTTCATAATATACAATAATCACGTGATAAACTAGTACATTCTATTCAGCTCATTCAGAGCAGTCGCTTTCGGCTTTTGTATTCAAAATTAGCGCAACTATCAATCCATATAAACCTAAGACTTCAGCAAAGATGAGTATCAAGACCATTGTTACGAACAGACGCGGTTGTTGTGCATAGCCTCTGACACACTTGATATAAAAATGCAGGTTGTTAATGATAAAGGCTAATTAATGGGTCAAGCCAACAGTACATTAATGTGGATATACTACTTACAGCATCTCCGACAATACCAATTGTGTACCCGGCGGCCATTCCGGATAACCCTACCGCAAGGCCCGCACCCAAGTGAACAAATCCTCTGGAGTGGAAGTTAATTTCAACGTTAATATTGAATTGGCGAATGATAGATTGTAACCCGTGCCCTCTTTTCGGCGAATAATACTTACGCAAAGAGTGAATAGGGATCGTGTGGAGATACTATTTACCAAATATTAGTAATAGTTGCATTCTAAAGATAAAATTGCTTCTGTTGTCTCTATATACTTACATGCTCCAGCTATTAATACAGAGATTACCAATCCGTATACGGCAATAATACCAGCCATTACAACTGGTATAAGAGACTAGGAAATAAAGGGACGGCAAATCGTCAATTATTGCATGTCTATTGATAAAAGTGAAATATATACACTACTCTTCCCCATTGGTATGCTTCTATTACGAAATATGTTACAAGTACCTTCATGATAAGCTCGGGTCTAAATGTTCCCATGCCAGCAATGCCTATCCCAGCTTTCGCTGTACCATATGCGGCACCGATGGCTATACAAAAAAAAAAGTATCAGAGAATGTGAAGAGAATACTTTGTAAATAACAGCTAAGTACTTGGATATAAGATCTATGCTTGTAAATACTTACAGCTGAAAATCATCTTTAATGTCGCACGTATGCCAGGCAATTGTTCATGTTAGTCTGAGATTTTCCGCTTGCCAACTCTACCTACATTCAATAACACCCTAGCACACATACCGCCGCTGCAACTCCAGAAAACCCAAAGAATATGGCATAGTGGGGACACTGGTTAGCAGACATAGCAGTGAAGAAACAGCAAGCATGTGTTGTGATGTACAGTATGTTTAATCTAATAGATAAATCTAATCACAGATTTGTTGTCAATGTTTGACCACGTGACTCAACTTAACAATGCATAACAGTCATGTACATTCGCCAATTAAAATTTGGCGCGAGGGCGGTGTTTTCGACCATTTCTTGAAAACATGCGATACCAGGGAATCACTTGTGGGATGTTATTTATTTTAACGGCATTCTCATTATGATATTTCTCCTCACGAAAGCATTAATTCGTAAGAATAATAGAACAGATGAAAAAGTTTCGTGGTTTGTGTAGCTTCCGTATTATCCAATAAACAAGCAAAGAATGTTGGCAATTAAAAGAAAAGCTGCACATAAAAAAGTGTCTCGAGATAGGAGAGGCAACCTTATTAAAGGAAATGAACTCAATTTGATCAATATACGAGACATGGGAGAATTAAGAATAAATTAATTCGATCACCATAGTTTTCGAGTTTGGCCACCTAGTTTTGTTGCATTTATATATAACCTAGAATTGTTATAATTCTGCTCTACCCAGCTGATAACTTCTCTCCTAAACGTGTATTGATAGCATGCTTACCTTGCTTAGACTCAAGACAGTCTCTCATGTATTGATAGCAAATTTGTCACGACTTTTAATCTCTGTGGGCTTACTGAAATTAAGAAAAGCCGCAATTACCATCTATAAAGTAATAATAAAGAAATTCCTGCTTCGAGTAATAAAAGAATGTGGCTACTAATGTTTAAAGCTGTAACAACAGTAGCCGAATATTTAACAATGCGTCAAGATGTAATTGAAGTGAAACGATCTTACGCGTAAAAATTGCACAGAACGTAATTATTACCGATGATCCGTAGCCTCATGCAGGAAATCCCACATGTTTACACATGAGCTAAAATTTGACTTTGCAACAAAATATATTAACATTAAGGTTTCCATGAAAAGAAAACCGCAATGGCTCAAACAATGGAATAAATAAACCACGGAAGAATTTAATATCCGGAAATTTTAAATGTGTGCATGCATATTTAATAATCAAATATCGCGTGCTCGTCCATAACAAAAGGCAATATACATTATATGGTTAAATTGTAGTTTACGTCTGCAAGGCGTGCTAGGAATCTTAATGATAAAGTGCTCCAATTTCGACGTATTGATCAAAATGAAGACGCACAACGAACAGTATATAGTAATAGTGTCTTGTTTTGAATCAATCGGATCTTATTGCAATCTTCAATTGTATAATTGTAAACACATTTATTTAAGCATCAGTCAATTTGACTGAACTCTTTTTTTTTTGGTGAATATGCGACAGACGTATATTGCTAATATAAATAATAAATTATCATTACTTTTGTCTACAACTTGACCTTATATATATATATTTATATACTATTTATATATGCAAGACTTTTATAATGCTGTGTTGCACGGAAAAGGTAAAGGATAATTCATAAAGGTGGAAGTATGGTGACTAAGGAGCAGCAGATGAGAATTCGCGGAATATCAACATTCGTCCTTGCTGTGGTGTCTGGCATCATGCATACATTCCTCCCATGAGTAAAGGAGAATCGACAAGCAATTCTCCCTTCCTCCTACAAATAAGCCTATAAATAATACTAAACTAAAATATATCTGTATGTATATGTAATAACGTAAATATTTACCATTATATATCTCATTATCTAAATGAGCCTCAAGCAAATCCCACTACCCATCTCTTCCCAAAATTACAATAAACCCAACCCAAAGCCAACCCAAAGACACAACCTATTAGTTAGGAACATAAATCCCCTTCTCATCAACACCCAACACCTTCATAACCTGATCGAGCTTCTCTTCAACAGTTGTTTCACCAACGACTCCAGTTCCTCCCGCTGAGACTTCGCCCCCATATATATAATTGCCATTCTCATGGTCATTCGATGACAGCTCGAATCGATTCAGACCTTTTGACATCTCCTCAATCAGACGAGGGAGTGATACGTCTTTAGCTATATATACACTTGTCTGTGGTAATTGATCAAATTGATGATCACTTGACGTGATGGAAGAGCGTTTGGAGTGAGATGACTGGGAAGAATTCGGTAGTAGATATGAAGAAACACGGCTTTGAGATTGTTGAACTCCAGGCAGATGCAACGGTGATGGATAGTTATGATAATAGTCCAAGTGACTATATCGATTGCTATCCTCCATATCACTCTCTTCTCCATTCTTCTTACTATAATATTCATCGAAACATTGACTAAACTTTCCCGCGTTGCTTGCGCGCGATCCATCAACAACTTGCCAAACATAAGACCCGTCAGCCAATTCGAGCACTTCTACGTGTTGTTGATGTTCCAACTCTTCCAAGAGAGCATCACTATCGAATAGAACCGAGTGTTTAAAGTTATTTTCTTCTAATCCACTATGGGGGCGGCTACTATAGTCGTACGAAAAGTGATCGTTTGGAGAATCAACATTCTCAGTGTCGTTATCTTGTCTACTGTAAACACTGTCATTGTCTTGTTCGTTATCGTCACCTTCATGATCGGAATAGTCATAGAAATCAAACAGACTTTCGCCATATGCACTAGCAATGCTCTTTCCGCCAGTAGATTTTCTAAGCCGGCTGGTGGATGACAAAGAAGAAGCAACACTTTGTTTACTAGCTCGCTTGGACGACACGCTACTCCGATGCGAAAGCAAAGCATCCGAATTAAGTGGAGGGATAGGCGGTATCGGTATTCCGTACGGCGGTTCCAATATGGACTCTCGCGTATTGGGTGATGGCACAGGCGTAGGCGGCCGGTTACGTAATGTCTCATTTGCTGGTATATCCAAAAACTTGTCATTCTGACTCTGACGTGCACTCGTCGTCGATTGTGCGTCTTCATCTACTCGTGTCAAGTACCACTTTCGACCTTCAGAGTCAATGTGTATTCCTCCAACGTGAAGTTTCTTGTCCAAATCCGTGTGATCGTCAGGACTATCTGCTGATTTGGCCTCGTCGGGCAATGGAGGAAGGACTGGTTTTGTAATGATGATCGTACGCCTTATCACAGGGTTTCGTGGTTTAGAAACCTCCGTCGGCGAGCCAACCATCGAATCGGATTGTTCATTGGGGTGTATAATTGTGGGGATGGAATTAGAGTTCGTTGTCACCTGAAGAGAGTTCTTTGTCCCATTGTTACTACGATTGCCAAAGTTACTAAATATGGACAACAGTTTAGATGACGTCTTTGAATTCCTGTTGGCGCCTCGTTTAGATCTTTCTGTTGAACTATCTTTGCTGTTTTGCCTAAGAGATCCAGTAGTAGGTTTATCCCGCTTGATGGATCCGCTCTTTGAGTTCCTTCGTGATCGAAGAGAACCAAGTGGAGATAGCGGTTGAGGAGTAGTTGATCCCGATACATCTACTGAATTTTGTGATAGTGGACTGACAGGAGCAAAACTTGTATTCGAGTCTGAATCAGTATTATCCCGTGCATCGTCCGTAACATTCTTCCTGAAGCTGACGACGTCTACGGTAAGTTTGCTGGATTGAGACGCCCTATTATCGTCTTCAGCTTCTTGGATTGTCTCTTTACTCAACTCTTTTGAAGCCTTTTTTCCAAGCGATGCTCTACCAGCCGACGCGGAACTTCTGGTCGACGTATTACCCGATTCACCAGATTGCGATGATTTCTTCGATGTAGAATATTTGGTGACTGTTTCAGCGTGTCTTTTTAATGCGTCAAGGTCGTACATTGGCGGTGGACGTGGGAATACAATATCGTTTTCGCCCGTCACTAGAGTAGCATTGTCTTCACTCACTGATTTCATAGACATGCTGCGATCACTATCCTGATAATCCTTGTTTAGTGAGGTAGTGCTATTATTTCTCCAAAGGCCACCATCAGTGTCATATCGACGATTTAAGTTTTCCTCAGAGACAGATTTGCGTGACAAGGTATCATTAAACACCTGTAATCTCAAAATGTCGTTACTACGTTTCTTTTTCTTTAAACTTTTGTTCTCACCATCATTAGCAAATACATCTTTTATCCTTCGAATTGACTTTGAAAACGTATTTTCATTCTCACGCAAAGATACTTTCCGCGCGAATGAACCGTTTTCAGAGTCTTCATCCCTATCAAGATGAACGATAGGAATTGATTTTACGCTGGATGAAGATGCAATCAGCTGCGGACCAGAAATGTCTTTGGGATTAATGGGTTTTTTGGGTCTGCGAACTATTGATCTTGACCTCTGTTCGTACATCGAGACGGATGCGTTCTGAAGCCGTCGCATTATTAATACTTGGTTTGCAATATCTGCCTGACCACTAGCTATTAGAGTATCAGTGAGCGCGTCTGGGGGCGGCTCTGGTTTGGGTGGTGGTCCTTGTTTGGGGGGTACAAAATTTCGCTGTTGAGAAAGTAAGAAATTTGCTTGTTCTTGAGAAAGTGAAATATCAGTTTTTTGTTGATAAGGTAAAATGTCTGTTTGTGGTCGAGATGGCAAATAGTCTGTTTGTGGTCGAGGTGGTAAAAATTCTGTTTCTTGTCGAGTATTTGTTTCTGTATTTTGTGGATGAGATGCTAAATCAAAATCCATTAGCTGCGAATCAGGTCTCGTCGCCGCTCGTCGTTGTTGTGTATACAGTCCTTCTGATTTGCCCACAAAATTCCTAGTCTCCGGAGGATCAACTGGCGATTCAAGTACTTGCTTTCGCAAAGGTTTGGCAGTTTGCAGTCTCTGTAGCGAATTTGCTATTGTTGATCCCGCTGATGACCTATCACCTGGCTGTGTTGATATGGTACCATTTTGTTCCTTTTCATTATCCTCAACTGTATCTCTATCAAGATGCATTCCTTTACCACTTGTATATTCCTCGACCTTTCCATCGTTAGTTAAATTGTCTTCTTTCCGCCTCTGTATACTCTGATCATTTTCTGCAACAACCCCACCATCCACATCCACCATTGCTCCGTTTTCCTCTTTCTTCTCGTGTCCTGCCTGGCCAGACTCTATACGCGTTGATTGAAGCGATAACGATCTCATTGTCTGAGAGAGTTTCTCTAGCGGAGACTTTGATGAAGACAAGGATATTATGCCCGCATTTGCCTGGAGAGGTTTGTCTTTCGTTTGAGGGGGAGTGTAAATATTGTAGGAACGTTTGGCTAATGTAGCATGAACAAATCCTGGAAGAGTTGGCGATGTTTGAGGAATGGCATTTTGTGTATTTTCAATGTCTGTGTATAATTTCTGATCCAAGGAAGCCTTTGTTGGAGCTGCAAACCGTTCAGTAGAGTGCGACCTTGATAATGCCCTTATTGACATTTCTGGTGACAACATTGGCGATGGTGATGGTGATGACAACGGGGGTGACATTTGCGCAGAATAGTCGGGAAAATATGAAGATGCGTCATACGACTGCTCGCTCGGTGAGTACGCGATTAGAACTGAATGTTGTGGTCGGGGTTCATTACTATACCAATTTGAAGGTATTGCCATTGGAAAGTCTGAATCATGTGGTACTGTGTGCATATGATCGTTTCCATAGTTAGCAGATGTATTTGCATAAAACTGGTCTTCTGGTAGGGGAGCGGAGCGACCAAAAGGAAGACCAGGATATGCGTATTGCTCTGGATATGCTACATATTGATCTGAATATCCTTGTTGGTTGACATATGAAGCCTGATACGGATCCGAATAAGCTTCACCATATGCGATATTTTGCTCTTCCAATTGATCAGCATACGGGTCAGGAACCGGATGGCCAAAATTATCGTCGTCGATTACGTAGTTGTTGTCGTTTATTAAATGAGGACCACCTATCCCGTGGACAGGTCGTATCGGATCCAATGGAGAATTATCATCGGCGTCGTAATTACGACCATTTGAGAAATCATTACCCTCGCTTGCTGCTTTTCCAGAAATTTGTTCAGTATTTGGCAAATTTGATTGTCCTTGTTCTATTTGCTGCTCTCGTTTTTCTTGCTTTGGCAGATCATTCATGTTTGTATTTTTTATCTCTATCTCTATTTCGTCCTCGCCTTCGCCCTCGGTTATATTTTCCATAATATTATCTATAGAACTAACAGCGCCGACCACACTAGTTCCCGAAGATCCACTACGGTGACTAGCTTCGCTTACAACCCTCGAATGCGACTTTCCCACGGTATTGGTATTCCCATAATACCATTTGGCGTGGGTTAAATCGTTGTTGCTTCCATTAGAAGATGAAATAGATGTGGGCGGAGTATACGAGTTGAATGATGATACGGAAGTCTCGTCGTCTTCATTTATCTCAACCAAATGAGAGCGTGTTTTGTGAACTGTTTGTGCTAAAGGCGAATTTGATGCATTATACGGTTTACCGTTTGTGGAAGGAGAGAGGTTGGGTGAATCTTCGTATTCGTGACGAAGGGAAGAATTTGGTATAAGAGATCGTTGTATACGAGAAGGGTTATAGGATGCATTCGTTGTATTTGTCGATATACTCTCGGCATTATTGCCATTGTCTTCGACTATTATTCGCTCTTCGGTCTGTTGAAGGGTTAATGATGGTGTTTGTCCACGCCTTAGTACGCTAAATCTTTTTGTGAGTTGAGGTAGGATGAGAGAGGTGCGAAAATCATTTGCAGGTAGTTCAGGAGGCAAGGACGGTACTCTTGCTTGTTGTTGTTGTTGTTGTTGCAGTTGTTGTGATTCATCTTCAGGTTGTGGGTTGCCTTGCTGTGCTTGCTGTAATTTTTTTAGGTCTTGCTTCTTTCTGAATTTGTACATTACTTGAATGTGTGTTTGAGAGACTGAAATGTGAGTGTTTTACGTGTATATGCTTCTATATGTCTTTACTTACTATGAAATGATAGTATTTGTTAGGTGAGGGGGGGGTGGGATGTATGATAATGCGATGGTCGGGTTAGTGAAGCATTTGTGTCGAGTTATGTATTGTTGAGGTTAGTATTGTCTTCTGGAAAAGGTCTAAGGGCGAGTAAAAGAACTTTATATTTGGGCAGGGTTGTTGTTGCTCCGTTGTCGTTTTCGTTGTTCTTGTTCTTGTTCTTGTTCTTGTTCTTGTTCTTGTTATTGTTATTGTTATTGTTGGGGGTTGGTTGGTAAGTGATGGTGGTGCTGTCGATGATGGATGTATGCTGATGGATGTATGTATGCTGGTGCAGAGGTTAAATGGGTAATACTTTTTTCTAAAAGAGGAATTGGACACTGCAGCAAAAAAAGAGACGGAAAATTTGTTTGTATACAAAAGAATGACTAGAAAACGTTGGACGGGAAGCAAAGGAAGGTGAAAATTACCGACAGAGAGAAAGGATAAATAACGACTGATCGAAAAGCCAGTAGATAAATGGTTAATGAATGATAAGTAATTCGTACAATTTTGTGGTAAATGTACTGAATAGTAAAGTATACGTAAGACGTAATTAATATTATATAAATAATGATGGATAGATAGACTATGTATTATCAACACATTGTTTACGTTTTAGTATTAAATATAATATATATTTCACAAATGATCACACGTTTTCCTCTGTTGGTCCAGCTCGAGAAAACACCCTTACGAATTTCGAATATAAATTCCAATTCGAGATGTCGAATATTTTGTTTGGGACATTTTGTTTCCCAAACAAGCTTGAAACACAACGAATCTGTGTTGCTACAACGACGAGAATAGCAATAATTACTACCACGGCGGAACGAGTAATCATGTCAATTTAAATAATATATAATATTATTAATATTTCTAATCACCACCAATCACAACACGATAACGAAATATGATAACGTCATCACATTCTTCACCCGAAATGATCGGACAGCCACATGGATGAACAACAAAATATGTAACTTTCGGTTTTGCTGACCAAAAATAATTGGGCTGCTTTTTTGCTTTCGAGAGGGTATTCACATGGCACAAAGGTTTGATCAGGGATGTTATAACTGTTGGTAGATAGCCAGGGGGGTGTGAGAGGGGAACGCATACGAATCGGCTATACAATCATCCCCCACCATCCAATAATAGCAATAAAAGGGTTTCTACCGGAAATGCTAAACACGAAAAGACGAATGGAATGTCTTGCTCACAAACAATCGGCTTATTAATAAATACCCCAGAAAAGCTCATTAGCTTGCCAATCACATTACATCACACACAAAAGCCAGTTCTTTATGAAAAGAAACAATGAAATCTAATCGTTATCGTTATTACGGATCGAGTTCACAACGTACTGAACGTAGCAGATGTCAATTCGTGCAGCCAACAAAAAAGTTACTGGATCGCACCAATTTAAGTTGCTCCACACGCAAACGTTATCCTTATTAAGAAGAGCAAACGTTCAATCAGGAATAACCTATCGAACTATTTATATTGTGTCACCAACGTTGTTTAGTCTAGAACATGTCAGCATGTAAACATATGATATACAGTCATGCAGGTATCGTTAAAATGCCATTTAATGATATTATCTAATAAACATTTAAGCTCAATAAAGAATAAGGTTTGGATACTTTAATATGAATTGCCATTCTGCTTTTATGGACTATAAAATGTTGTATTTCCATTTCTCTTGTGTAATGCGTGTCAAAATATATTAACCACCACGATTATTAAATTCCATTACGTATGCTACTGTCATAATCTTTTGTATTTCCCTCCTCAATCGTTTCAACAAGAATAAAGTTTTCTTTGGCGGAAGACAGTGTTTCTCGAATAAGGAAAGGCTTTTTCATGAATGCTCTGTCTCACAGATAATTTGGGTAATTAAACCGAATACCTGTTTGAATGTATCGCTTATCATATTCAGGATACTGTCCCGTGTGACAGACTGTCGAATCGAAAGATGCATCGTCGTGCATTGTAATGCTATGCGTATGAACGAAATTCAGCAGTATCATAACGCACAGACATATTCTAATATGTAAACTGTTCGTCATGAAAGATTGTAAGAACAAGATGACCCAACTTGCGCTCTTAAACGAGTCCAATCGGCCTGTGCCGCTAGAACCGCTGACAGTGTCTATTAAAAGTAATTTGAAAAGTCGTAAAGCTAAATACTGTATGTTCATAGATATCAGATTCGCATAATCGACAGTGGAACAAATTCTTTCTGTCGGCTGAGTGTGTTTCAACCGGTTTGTTAGAAAAAGCGTAAAAGGTTTCAAGTGAAAAAGTGTTTGTTAACAAGCTATACTACCATTAAGTCGAACACCAGAGCAGCTAATGTCTGAATCATCATTACTGCATACAAAGATCCTTTAAAACGAATATTAATATTCCCGCAGATCTTTGGGTTTCAGATGTGGGAATTCGGGGGAGGGAATGCAAAAAATAGGCATTACTATGCTATACATTTGTACAACAAGATCAACATTTGCGTTTATTGAATATGTATTTCCAAGTACGTACTTACTACCGTTATGAAAACTTGACGTAATGATTTATTGCAAAGACAGACTGTCAAAGAAGTCTTGTATTGGTCTGTGTAATATTACATGTTTATCCAATACGATAAATCCTGTCTAGCAATAAAGTTTGTCCTCCATAAACTATTAATTTTCATTGGTCACTATTGCTATGCCCGACCCATAATACTGTAACAGCTAATGGATGTGAGGCTTTACTGCCTATTGCAAGAGAATCGGAACTTTTTCACGTAACGGTTTGTTTAAAAGGCTCGCTCGTTCTTTAAGAAAATTTTGGTATATAATCTGGCATTTCGTTATCGAGTTCCGCATAATGAGGTTTAATTAGTGAGTTACGGCTTTACAGTCAAATGACTTTCTTGCTATACATTAAAGTTGCAGTATACGTATATGTGACGAGAGTTTGTGAAACCGCTTCCGACCCGTTGGCCTGATTATTGCTCCTGAAGTACAATGCAATTAGCTATTACAGTTTCATATATTATATGTTTATGTAAAGATAAATAACATCTGATTTGTTGCAACAGGTGTCGGAAGCATTCCTCTAAATGAGAATAAGGCTGGTAAAAGTATCTTTCAGAGTCGTTGAACGTATGCAGTGTTTATGTGGCGTGCTTCGTCGTACTTTACGTAACAGCCATATAATTTCATTGGAAATAAACTGGTTCGGAAAAAAAAAAGTTTACAATTTACTTTTGGTTGTTTGTGATTCCCGGAATTTTGTTGGTTACACACAATGGACACCAAATTTATGATTTGTTCGGGTATGGGATCTGCAAGTGGCGGCTGAGTAAATGTATCCAAAATTTAACTACGGTAGCGCAATGGCAAATTAATTAAAGAAAGATGCACTGTTTTAGCCATCTCGGCATCCAAGCCTCCTCAATTTGAGCCAAGCGACTTGGCCGAAAGGCTTTCGTCGCGATTTCCATAGATGTTTACTACAATAAACCAAATGCAGACTACATCTACCACAGCCATGGTCACACAGTCGGGAGTGCATTATAGTCAACAATTCTGCTGTTACGTGTATGCAAAGCTAGCTACTATTGCAATAGTCAATATTTATATTATAGTTAATTTATGGTAGTACGGCATACTCTGTACACCGAGTGACCATAATCAAATCAGAATCATTGATTACAATGGAATAAGGTTTGTTATGTATAGTCATGTTTATCAAACAGCGAATCCAAATTAGAGTATCATGATTACTTCGCGAACGCAGTCAATTGTTCAACAATATCCGTACTTTCTCATTATAAACAAGCGGAAGCAATCAACTTAAATTACGTAAAGTCATGTTAGACTCGAGACCCTAGTATAAAGTAGCAATGATTGTTAGATCATTGAGTAACTTCTTCGATGCAAGCGTATAGTCGATTGTCCCGAGAGCAGGTGCTAGCCGTAACACTTTTTATTATTAACAATGTTCGCATATTAAGCGTCGAATAACCAATAGCCGATACCAAATGCTTAATAGACTAAGTTCCGCATTTAAGTTCATGGTTGGTCACTAAGAGACGAAGAAATTGCTCCGGATTGATACGCAAGTAATATTTACTTCTCCCATAGAGGACTTTAATTCAAGAATGTTTCCACTTCAAGCATTAATTCCTGTTATGCACAGCAAAGGGTCTGGTTCATTCCCCGACCGCAGCCATTATTTATGTGTAGTAATGCATCTATCGATGAGCATCATAATAAGTAGTAATAAGTAATAATTTATCACAAGTAAAACCCATTATAAGAAAGTCGTCGGGTCGGACCAAATACTCTTATATCGAAAATCTCTTATAAGGGTCATTAGTTAAAAGATGTTAAATCGGATCCAGCAAAAATCTTTCATATAGGCCATATTTCTTATATCAAAGGTTTCTTATAATGAATTATACCTGTAACATGTTTATTCGATACTAACGTAACTGTGTGTTAAGACAGCAAAGAATTTACAGTAGCCAATCATATTTGGAGCCATTATATTCATTATTCTTCATATAGTGAAAAAAATGGCACCGCAAAAAATTCCATAACGACGACACAAGATATTTCATATGTTTTAAATGTATTTTATTATAAATAAAAATTTTAATACGAAATCCCATCCCGTTCTTTTCCAATACAAGCTTGCATCTTTTTTCATTGATAAAACTAAATTGTTTACTGTTTCAACTGAAATCGCGTCCCATTCTTCAACCACAAACTTCTTCAATTCATTAATATTCTTTGGCATTCGTTTTCAACATTGTGTTTGATTATTTGCCACATGTTTCTATGGGATTGAGGTCTAGGCTATTTCAATGGCCCGAATCCCATTCTCGACGATAAAATCCTTGGTAACGTGCGAGATGTGCTTTGGATCATTATCTTGTTGCAGGTACCAGTTCCTGCCATACATGCTTTGAGCAGCAGGCAAGAGCCGGGTTTGCAATATACTTACATAGAAGGGCCCATTCATTATTACTAAGTAGAGATGGCAATTTTACCAAGAATTTGACTGTCGGCGTGTTATTTAAAAATCTGTGCGAAATAATTTTACAAAGGTTAACGAGCAAAGATAACGAGAATAATCGAATATAATGGTTTTTCCAAAATAGAAACAACCGGGTTAGATCACAGTAATCAAAATACTGACTTACAACTTAAACTAATAGCTAGTACAGAAATGCAAAAAGCAGATATATGGTCACCCGATAATTTGCAATGGTATTAAAGTATAACAAAATTATATGAAAATTCTAGTTTAATAGCTCGCGGAATGCAACTTGTTTAATTCATCTTGTTATAAAAAATTCTTGTACATAAATTTTTTAATACTAATGTAACATTCACAAATACAATATGCATATTGCATATTTGAATTTGTTCAGTGTGTTTTATGATCTTGAAAGAACTGCAAAATAAATTAATTAAGAATAGAATTTGCAGTCACAATTACATTTGTATGATTCAAGTGTACTGAAAATCTTGCCATTAATTGAAAACACATCCTATGGGTATAGGTAACCAACATTCTATAGAAACTACTACTCTTACAAGGGATGATCATTAGTGTGGATATTTATTAAACTATGCTTAAAAGAGATCTGTTAACTTTGATGTTAACTGAGAGTAATTACAGGCATTTGCACACGAAATTATATCTCTCCACATTTTACTACTGCAATGTTCTCCCCAATAAGAAATAACAGATTCCACATGCATTTTTTTCTCTCCTTTTTTCATTCTTCCAAAGTCTAACTTCACAACGCCTCTAGTTCCATATAGAGACATATAAAATGTTCTAACAAAACTGATCAGATCAAATTGAGGCTCATATACAAAAGATAACTCCTCATTAATGGCATTCAGAACATTATCTGCACTACATTCCAAGCCACCTGCAAAATATTGAGGGCCTTCACAGAATAACCCCAATCAAGAATGACAACCAGCCCTTCCCTATGCCACTTTCATGCACTTCCTGAAGTGTTGCAAGAAGATCCTCAACATCTATCTTTTGCCAGTAGCGGATTTTTTCACAAACTGGCTGTGTGATGATAACATTGTTGTCGTGTGCAACAAGAGAGCTGAGTAAATTGTGATAATCAATTCGCGTTTGTCTAATGATCATCCGCAGTGTATGATGGTATTTTATTACACAGTGGCTCTCTTTATAGTGGACCTCCGCTACAGTGGATTTTAGTTATTGTGGAGAAATGTTGGAAACTTTTTTTCCTCCTAATTAAACTAGCTCTATAGGGGAGGCAATCATTTCGTCGACAATTATTTCACCGACAAATCTTCACCAACATTATTTCGAAGTTATCCTTTTTTGGTAGTTAATTGTCGGTGAAATGTACTGTCGGTGAAATGATTGTCGATGAAATAATACGGACCCCTCTATAGTGTATTTATATAGAAACTATGCAGATATCGGTTAGTGGAGGAAATACTCTTGATTGATTATAGTCTAGAACGCCTCTATGTAGTGTATGTAGTATAAAATGGCTATATTGTGGTTTTCGTTCGATATAGTGGAGGGGTAATGATTAGTCAGATTAGAGAGAAGAAAGTTTTCTTCTTTGTTTATGGAGGAACAGTCTATGGATAGAAGTAGCCAAGAAACCGTGTTGCCTTGACTGGGGCAAGTATGTAATTGATAAAAAAATAATAAAGCAAGGATCTTTATTACTTTTATAAAGAACTAAGAGAAACTACGATGTTAATTAATAATAAAAGATAATAATGCAAAATTATTTTTTCAGAAAAAGGGAATTATGTGGAAAAAAAAACAAACTTCCCCTCAATAAAAGGCCGAGAACTAGCGGAAGACTTTGTAGTGAGCAAGCTGTCTCTAAAATTCTCCATATTGGCTAAGCCTTGAACTAGAATCAACTGCCGCCAGATTCAAACGCGATCGAAAAGGCACCTTTCCCGAAATTGAAGAAGCAATGATAATTTAGGTTGATCTCAAGGGCTTACACTACAAGGGCATATGGTTCAAGAAAAAGCGAAAACGTTAAATAGTTTAAAGCATCAAATTCTTCGAAATAATATTGAAAACAAGTGCCAGTCTAGCACTTTCAGTGAATATTGCGGTCATTTACCTTCTTTACTGCTTTTCCTTGCGTGTTAATACGAAATAAACTGGGTTTTAATCAAATTCGCTATAGTAATAGTGTATGTCACATGATATATTATTAAATACACTATTCCTTAAACTGTGTTGTCGTTCGCCTATTTTCTTTCTTTAATCTTTCTTAATTGCTCGTGGTCGAAATGGGAGGCAATCATTTCGACAAATCTTCACCAACATTATCTCGAAGTTATCCTTTTTTGGTAGTTAATCGTCGGTGAAATGTACTGTCGGTGAAATGACCCGTAGCCATTAGTATGTAAAGTCACGTGATAATATATTACACGGATTTTGCGTATCCTGAAGTTTATCTTTTTGAGTGTCTGGGTTGCCAAACTCAGATACAACATATTTAAACGAGTCAATGTACAGGTAAATATGACAATAAAACCCAACAACTGAATATGCTTCTTTTAATAAGATACGTAGTTATTATTATCAAATTAAACCATTGCTAGTTTTCGCCAAACTGCCGTTTTTATTTTTATAATAAAGTTTGGTTTAACGAAGATGGCTTTGTACAGAACTTTCTCTGAATTGTACGGGAGAACAGAATTATTTGAATCCATGTGGGAACTGCATGCTTTTTTTAGATTAAGCCACTAATCCTGCATTAGTATATACAACTATGGCTATTTACGAGAAAATCGAACAAGAGTTGAGGAAGCTCGAGGTGGAGTTGATTGAGGTAAAAGACGAATTGAGGACCTTCAAGGAGGGAGAGAATGGTGTAAAGTTGCTGGATACATTGAGGAGTAGACTACTGAACAAGGAATATGAAGACGAAGAAGAGAAGAAAATGTGGGAGGCGGAGAAGGAGAAGCTGGAGAGAAAGGAAGAGAGGCTGGAGCAGGAAGTTGTGAAAAGCAGAGAACGAGTGTGGGTAGTGCGGGAGAGGTTTACCCGTCCTTAGACAGGTAACACTTTAACTCAGGCTTGGGAACAAAGAGTAGTAGTGTACAGAGGTAGTGTACAGAGGATAGATAGGGATGGTCAGTCGAAATTTGTCATGCCGCTTATTCCTTCCTCTGCTTTTGGTTGAGGAAGACACATATTCCAGCATTGATTCCGCTCGCTGCAACGGCATGCTAAAAATAATCAACTACCAAGCTCCCCAAGGTTCAAAGAAGATCAAGCAATAGTGCATAAAACAATAACTCGATTGTCGACCTTGATTTGAAACTTGATTGTCAAAATCTCTAAGGACAAATTTACAAATACTAATACTGTTAATTGGGAGCATTTCAATACTCCTTAAAGCTAATAACAATTCAGCGAAAACCTCTGCTCATAAGCTATTAAATAAAGCATAAAGCATGTTCATTGCTCTCTCCGTTGTGGCACAATGATCAACAATTCTTTTGCCATTTTTTTCCGTGACACACTGTATATTCAATAGTTGCGTTCCTTTAGTTGCATGCTAAAGGTGCTCACAATAGTTGCATGTTGGGCATTGCAAGACTTAAGAATAGCTCGTAAATCTTTTAGTCACAGAGCACACATTACCTTTGAGTCATTGCAACTGAAAAAGGGACAAGAAATAGCATTACTGAACTGATATAGTACGCGTTTGCGTTGCGGAAAGGTTCGGCTAGCAATATTTGCTGTGCCACCATTAATGTCGCATTTTATTGGTCAATTTTACAAATCTCATCACAGATTGTGTCTTTTCCTTGCTAAAAAAAGAATCCTACCATTCTCTCTTTCCCTCGTCTTCCTTCTTTTCCTCTCTCCGAATGGATTCCAAAGAGTCAATTTTACCAACCGAAGGCGAGCGTCTTAAATCCATCGAAATGCCTCAATCCGATAACGAGGTTACTGATGGATCAGTCGAAGACGAAATAGAGGACGACGAGCGGGAAACTGACGATAGTGCGGAGGATACTGACGAAGAGTCTGACGGGGACGATAGTGAAGAAGAAGAAGAGGAGGAGGAGGAGGAGGAAGAAGAAGAAGACGAGGAGGAGGACGAGTCGGAAGAAGAAGAAGAAGAGGAGCCAAAGTTGAAGTATCAGAGACTTGGTGCGGGTGTCGGTGAAGTACTGAAAGAAGACTCGGCGAGTGCCATGACTGTATCCGAGCGGTTTGTTGTACGTTGAAATGCTTAAAATGTAAATTGGTGCAGATGACCGTTTAAATGTGAATATGTATTCGTCGAACTCGTTCGATCTTCCATGGAGTTTGTAGATCAGTTCTTTAATATAAACGTTTATTATATCTGCTCCGATGTATTTCTTTTTTACCTTCTTGGCTAATTCTTTGCTTTACTTTCCCCGTCTTAGGTTCTCGGCACCCATAATGGCTCAGTCCTTCTACTTGATTTTCAGGGAGATGTTGTTAATCGCTTCACTAAACATACTGCGTCTGTGTCTGATATCTCTATTGATGCCTCTGGAGAGTATGTGGCAAGCGCGTCACTTGACGGTAGGATAACCTTGCTTGACCATCCACGTATAATCAGTCTCCGTGTCCTTCCAAAATTTATACAATCTATAAAACGATTGTACCATAGGAAAAGTTGCAATATATGGTTTATATCCAGAGAGTTCTGGATCCAGCGATTCCAAAGAAGCATATCCTGTAGAGGTATACGACTACAAACGACCAGTGAAATGTGTCGCCTTGGATCCGGAATATAATAGAAAGAAGACGCGTCCATTCGTATGTGGCGGAATGGCTGGAATATTACATTTGAGAGAAAAAGGTTTGTTTATTATGACGAATTTTGGTTGTGCAGTGATCGTACGCCATCTTAATACAATAAATATACGTGATAGGATGGTTTGGCGATAAGGACACCCCATTACAAGGCTCTGGTGAAGGACCTATTACTGCTGTCAAGTGGAGAGGGTCATTGATTGCTTGGGCTAATGATGAGGTCGGAAACTTGTTATAGATGAGCGGTGTTTGGTAGATATTGATGTTATGATATGTAATGTGAATTCTAATATGTTGTATATCACAGGGTGTAAAGATGTATGATACAAACTCGCAGAGCCGTATTACTTGGATTGCTAGACCTTCTGATAGTCCAAGAGCCGATTTATATCGATGCAATTTGTGTTGGCGCGACGACACAGTGTTAATGATTGGCTGGGCCGACAGTATACGTCTTGCTGTAGTCAGAGTAAGTTTGGCATCACGGTGAAAAGAAAAAAGCTTAAATTGTTAGGATAAAGATACAAAAGTTATTAACAGGGTCGTGAACTATTTATTGTAGGAGACTCCTAGACAAGAAATTGCACAGGGCAAGCCACCGTTATATGCTGAAATTACCGCACAGTAAGCAGCAGGTGTTATGTTTTATACTTGACTTGAAACGGTTGATAATATCGTTTCTATATTATATCATCAGAATCACAACAGATTTTATTGTCTGTGGTATTGCGCCATTTAAAGATATGATGTTATTATTGGCGTATACAACCGCTGACATACACCAACATGAAGAAACAGATGACCCAGAGAAACAGAAACGACAGGTGATCATCTGTAATCTTTATTGCATTATTTTGACCATCGTTTCTATTTCATTTTACGTTCAGCCTATTAACTTACTAGTTAATCTTCTTCTCTACATATATAGAAAGCCAGACGCCCTGAACTGCGCGTAATCAACTCAGCCAACGAAGAAATATCAAGTGATGAACTACCTCTCCGCGGATTTCAACATTATCAACCGAACGACTATGTGCTAGACTATTTGTCATCAGAAGACATGTTCTACGTAGTCAGTCCCAAAGATCTTGTAGTTGCAAAGGAGCGCGATTTAGACGATCATATTACGTGGCTAAGGGAGAGATCAAGATATTATGAGGCATTGCAATCGCTTAGAGGGGCACCAGTCTATAATGGTGCTAGTGGATATACGATCAAAGGGTTAGGGCAAGAGTATTTGGAGTATCTAGTACGGGAGAGTAAGTTTGTCCATGTATTTTCCAGGCGAGTGATATCCGTCTTGATAGTGGTTACTAAATGTGTTTCATTTACAGAGGAGTTTGATAAGGCGGCAACAGAATGCCCCAATATACTTGGTGACGACGCTGAGCTGTGGGAGCGATGGATATACGCATTTGCTGATATGTGGGAATTACAGGTCAGCTAAGTTAACACTGTGCTTGCAGGATTTTTCTGTGATTTGAATTAACACCATCTGTTATTACAGTCAATTACCCCATTTATTCCATACAAAAAACCTCAATTGAGTGATGCGGTGTACGAAATGGTATTATTACACTTCCTACGGAATGACCACCAGGTATACTATATAAGAAATAACTTTATGACAATTACGAAAAGGGCTCGATTGCATGGCCACTAATAAAATTTTTTTTCCATAGTCTCTGATAAAAACCATCATGGATTGGCCTTCGACAATATACAACATAAGAAATGTTATTGTCTTGGTTGAAGAGGCGTTAAGTAAAGAGAACGACAACCCTATTTTAATGGAATGTTTAGCTGAATTGTAAGTTTACAGCAAAAGCCAGAAAAAGTATCTGTCATCTGTCACATTTCTTTATACGTTATTATTTTTCGTAACAAAAATATTCGATTTTCAGATATGCATACAATCGCGAACCAGATAAAGCTCTCGAATATAATCTCAGGCTACGTCGTCCAAATGTTTTCGACTTGATCCGTGACTACAATTTATTCTCTGCCCTCGAAGGCAGAATAATATTACTTATGGAATTTGATCAGCACTTGATGAAGGAGGAAGAGAGAGAGAAAAAAGAAAAACAGGATGAAAGCGCGGGTGGCGACGCGGCCCCAAAACACTCAACCAAATCACGTGTGAAGAGACAGAGCGAAGGACCTGCTGTGCAATTATTGGTTCAGAACACAGAGCTCGTACCTGTATGTTATGCTTAAATGCAGTATTTTTATGAAGTGATATCGATCGATTGCTTATTCAATACTTTATAGACTTTTTTGGTCGTCAGGGAATTAAAAGAAAACCCGTACTTTATGTACATCTACTTGGATGCACTGTTCCATCATGATCCTCATCTCGGTTATGAGTATCACGACATGCAGGTATGCGCGTAGACCATAATGGCTATTGCTTAGGCAACTCGTGTATTTTCCTAACGACCGTCCACTATCTAGATTGAATTGTATGCCGAATATGAATATGACGGACTCATGGAATTTCTGCGTACGAGTAATTATTACTCACTTGATCGGGTGCGAATTTTTGAATCCTAAACATTATAGTTAATGAATTATAGTGACGTCCAACATTAGTATTTGTGCTAACGTCGCTAGTCCGTTTTTCCAGGCCTATGAAATATGTAAGCAAAGAGACTTGGTACCTGAGATGGTTTTCATCCTCGGACGTATGGGCAACAATAAGCAAGCATTGATGTTGATCATCGAACGCTTGCAAGACGTACAACGCGTAAGTAGTTGTTCGAGGTTAAACGAAAGTCAACTACAATACGACTAATGATTGTTATTGATGATAGGCCATTGATTTTGCGAAAGAACAAGATAACGAAATACTCTGGGAAGACCTTCTTGTATACTCATTAGACAAACCTCGTAAGTCTTTGTTTACATTCAATATGAAAGGCGTTATCGCATGCTAGTTTATTTAATAAAACTAAATGTACTCTATACCCAATTCCGAATTGACAAGGCTTCATTATTGGTCTTCTTGATAATCTCGGCAGCACCAACATTGATCCTATTGCTATGATACGCCGTATTCCGGGAGGATTGGAGATACCCGGATTGAAACAAGCACTCATTAAAGTATTACAAGACTACAACCTGCAAGCATCCTTACGAGAAGGTTGCGAAAAGATATTGGTCAATGATAGTGTAGCAATGGTTTATCAGCTCAATCAAGCGCAGAAGCATGGCATATCTTGTGAAGGTCGGTGCTATAAAAAGATTGAAATCTAATAACGACATGTTGCAATTGCTAATAATGTTTTGGTGTTTGCAGCGGAATTGAATTGTTCGATATGCCAAGAGACCATTATTAGAGACGGTAAGTATTTATTTATCATACAAAAGAATTTGTTCAATTTGTTCAGTCGGTACTATAGTACTTCCCACCCGTATCACTCATGTAACCTTCCACTTTAATATCTGAATACACAAAAGATCTAAACTCAACGCCAGACCCAAAGGCGACGACGATAATATTTTTCTGTAAACATGCGTACCACAAACAATGCCTTCTGGATGAGGAAAGTTTTGAATTGTCTAATCAAGCATTGAAACCAGCTGGAGGACGTTTTGGAATAGCTCCAAAAATCAGACACACCACTTTGCTACGATCTTTAGGACGTCCTCCACAGTGTCCTATTTGTCATGAAGCACAGCATAAACATAAGCCCCTCAATAAAGTAAAACGCGAGACTGGTCCAATTAAGGGATTTGTTAGGAGTAGGCAAGGTTCTTCCTCTTCTTCTTCTTTAAAAGATGATGATGGGATGCCACCAATGGTGCCATTAAGGTTCTAATTATTGGAGTGAGTTATAGGAGGTGAAGGTCAATGGATGTAATATTATTTTGGTGTTCTGTTTGATGCCTGTGTGTAATTCATTTGATGATTGTATTTAAGTGTCATATGTATTGTAAAATAAAAACTATTGTTTTATTATCTATGAGTAGTATAATTCTGTATGTTTTAAGTCGGAACAAGAAACCATAACCCAGCCACTATCAAATTGTTCCAGCAAAAAGGTTATCACTATACGTATCAAAGATTTCTCAAAATATATAGAGAGAAGTATTTATTGCCGAATATCGGATTAACCTAATGAAGAACAAAGCCTGTATTTAAATCGGTGGGCATGGTGGCTAAACCTCAGAGTCGGACGTAGTAACATGGCAAAGAAAATTTGTGTTATACTTGTAATTTTCGTAGGGAAGTGTATCATTGGTCGCTTTTCCACACAAAGTTATTTTCTAAATTTTTAAGACGCGTTTTATATCCATACTAATACTGTAATTAAAATGATTTTCGATCAACATGCCATCAAAATCATAGATAATTCGGCAAAGTCTTTCAAGAAAAGAACATCTCGTTGGATAAGGCAGTTATTTAATTCCCATATTTCTTGCTGAACAACTTGAAGCAGGAATAAAAAAAACAAGTTACATTCCGCATTGGTTCTTCTTTCCACAGATTTTCGCCATTCTCTAGGTATTTTCGCTCACTGAATGGTTTGGTGGATTTAGATTTTGCTTTAAGATTGATTTTCCTGGTCCAACTGCTTGAATCATTGCTTCAAGCTTTGGTTTATACTGTCGAGCTGGATTGTAGGTCTTATAATGCAGTGAGAGACTGAGAACAAGCCCACAAAGAATTCAACAGAAGTAAGCATTTTTGTATGGAAAAAATGCGTTTGATAGTGATTATTAATGGGTTTTTTGTGAATTTATATTGCCTGTAATATATAATTTTATATTCAACTAGTAAGACATTTAATTTTTGTTTGGTAAATTCGATCGAGCAATGGTAGATTTGCCCAAGCTCTGTCCAGTGCCATGCGTACCGGTGGTGAATGCGCCAATGTAGCTCTGCACCCTTTCAGTGCCGAGATTTATGACAGACAGCGAAGCGTGGGCACGAGGTCGATCAGATTTCAGACAGCACCAAAAGTCACCGTGTTATCTGGGTTGATCGTCATATGGTTAAGGTTTGTAAGACTGATAATGTAGGAGTCACGATTCGTAATGCTGACGTCTACGCAAGTGGTCATGTTGCCAAAAGCATGGCCATTGCCCACGACCTTGAGCATGGACTGAAGCGGAAACTGCTCCTGGACGAATGCCAGTTGTACCAGCGATGTGCCGAGACAATTGTTACATTAGGCGATTGCGCGCCTCGAAACGCTCCTACAGACATGACTGTGTATTTGCGCATACTATTGACGCTAAAATTTCTACATGCTCTGAAGATTATCGGGAATTTACCTGCCATGTCGCACAACCTTCCAGGTCGTGCAGGCTCAAATACTATCCCTTCATTGGACACTCAGATCCATAAATAGAAATATTATGGACTGTACGACGTGTCGGGTTGTGCGACATGGCAGGTAAATTCCTGAAAGGCTGTTTGATGTGTCGGGTTGTGCGACATGGCGCAATTATGATCTACAGCATGGTGCGACTGGAATTAAAATTTTTTTCGGTTTTAGGAGGTAATAATGTAACATTTCGCAGAATCACGACATAAAACACTTTGTTGAAGTTGTCAAAACTTGTACAGGCTTTGTTTTTGTGTCAAGTACTTCGCATGACGGGATTGGCTTGAAGAGGTCCAAATCATACGACCCCAACACTGAGCGGGAGCTCCCAATTTTGTCTTTTGTGTTTGCATAACGGGAAGGGAACTAATAACGACATTTTCAGAATCACACACTCAGAGTTTTATTTATGTTAATGCATGACGGGATTGGCTTGAAGAGGTAATAGTAATGTTTCGCTGATTTCCAAATCATACGACCCCAAACACTGAACGGGAATTCCCAAAACTTGTGCAGGCTTTGGCTTTCGTGTTAAGCTCTTTACATAACGGGAAGGGCTTTAGGAAGTAATAGTAACATTGCACTGATTTTCAGAATCATACGACCTGAAACACCAAGCGGGATTTCCCAAAACTTGTTCAGGCTTTGTCTTTTGTGTTAGTTCTTTGCATAACGGGAATGGCTTTAGGAGGTCATAGTAACGTTTCGCTGATTTTTAGAATCAATTAGCCAATAAGATTGGTACTGCATTACTTTGCGGAATGAGTATTTGAAGCCCACTCAACCCAGGATTATTTGCCCTGCCAGAACATACACCGAATTCTTGATTCCTACAAACAGCGACATTATATCTTGGAAAAAGCAACCATGTCTGAGAAACCTATCGAGCCTTTTTCTACTCGTACGGAATACCAGCCAATTGTTCAAAGGCTGATGTATATGGTCGCACGCAATAAGGGTTGGGAGGATAAGTTTACGAAGGCGATCCTTTGCGCTCACAATAGCGGGGTCGAAGATATGGTCAAGATCAAAAGTTTGGCTGACTACTACGAGTTTCTTAACAATCTGGTGTTGTGGGTGCCCACAGAGGATAAACCAGGAACTTATATTTACAATATGCTTTGCACGATGTACTTTGTCCTCGACCAGAAGCCCGTCCGCGAGCTTCAGTCACCTGTTAAGCCTTCATCATATCCACCGCCGCAATTGACACCGTTATCCCAATGGATAGTCGATTACGCCACGTCTATGGGAGACTTTCTCTCTACCCCTCAATCACTTACCGAGAAATCTCTGCAGACTTTTTATACGGCACAGAAATACAATCTGGATGCCTATCAGGTTCCCGAAGGAGGCTGGCTGGGGCATTCTTTCAATGAATTATTCGCCCGACATTTCTTGCCAGGTACCCGACCCATTGATGGCCCTTCCAATCCAGCAGTTATTGTGAGCCCCGCAGACTCGGTTTTCGATGGGGCTTGGGATATCACTCAGAATTCAACAGTCACTTTCACTGTAAAAGGCCTTCCCTGGAGCATTGACGAGTTACTTGCACACAGTCAGTATGCAAATGAGTTTGCCGGCGGGAAATTTATGCACGCATTTCTCGCACCATACAACTACCATCGTCTGCATGCTCCTGTTGGTGGCAAAGTGCTCGAAGCCACAGTCATCCCAGGCCAGGCCTATCTCAAAGTTGTTGCAAAAACGCATAAGGGCAAACTGAGACTCACCCCTATTCGAAAGCTAGAACAACCAGATGTGGTTAAAGAACTCGATGCTCCAGACTCTCCTGGTTATCAATTCTGTCAGGCTCGCGGTCTGATTGTAATCGATTCGCCAGAAGTTGGAAAAGTGGCTGTTTTACCAATTGGTATGGCTCAGGTGTCTTCTGTGCAACTCTCCACTCATAAAGGGGCTAATGTGAAAAAGGGTGCTGAGTTGGCTTACTTTCAGTTTGGTGGATCTGATGTTGTCGTCGTGTTCCAAGCACAGAGCAAAGTTGACATACTTGCCAATATAGGTGAATCTTATAGCGTGGGCCAACAGATTGCAATTGCTAATATATAAGTGTTTGTATCATTCTATAAATATGTAAATCTACGATCTGTGTAATCCGAATAATAATAAAGCAAGTTATTAAAAACGATAGCTAAACATAACTTGATGCTAAAATGCTTTATGACAATAATGAATGAACGGATACAATAAATTTGAGCAAAATAGGATGAAGAGTATTGCCGAACGGTCCCAAGCAGACGAACTGACTGAATTTTTAGGTTATAAGAATCACGGTTATTATAAAGGTTTATTAAACTTCTTTGCTTTGTCAAAGGTATCCCCACAGAGTGTGACAAAAATAAGCATAATTCTACATCAAAATCATGCAAATCATGTGAGACACCATTTTATGTACAATTGTAAGTCTTTTTGAACGGGTCTGTATTATTTACAATTAACTACCAAAAAAGGATAACTTCGAAATAATGTTGGTGAAATGATTGTCGGTGAAATGATTGTCGATGAAATGATTGTCGATGAAATGATTGTCGATGAAATGATTGCCTCCCTTTTTGAACAATATTAAGGTTTAGGAGTATTAATGACTGACTATGACTTGATCTTCTTTTCCAGTTCCACAATTATACCATTGTAATTAAGCGACAAGAAATCAAGAGCAAATCTCAGGGAAAAGTTAATTATCGGATCAAATGTTTGGAACTTGGCAGTAAAGCCTACATTTTCGCGGGAAAATATATTCGATGTTACATGATCAACATTACCGTACGAATGATATTCCGATTCACTCTTTCGATAATTAAACTGTTGCTGTTAACCATATCAATAAAGCTATAGTTATTACTTTTGTTAAAAACCGTATTTTTGTATCACAACATAAGAAGAAATTCGACTAACAGAAACAAAGTTTCAATAGATAACTTAATGATGTGACATTTTTACAAAATAAGAATAAAGTTGATTTTGTAGGCGTTGACGTCTCCTTTATTTGAGATCATATTTTCTCGCGTCCAAAAAATCAAATCGGGTTATGAATAAATGAGTATAAGGATATTCGAACTGCTCTTTACCAACAGCCTATCACAATGTATTAAAAATGATAATATTTTCTAGAATCTCTATAACCCGCGTAAAATTTTTTTTTGATGACGGCGAGAAGCTTCCAAGCAGCAAAACTAAATGTTGATAGATATTATCTGGGAGAGCTATGAATTGGCTAAAGCGATAAATTTAGGGGTTGATTCTGAACACGCAACCCGCTTTATGACAAGTATTTTAATAGACATTCTGTATGTCTATTGTTTATCTGATTTTTATTGTCGAAACGAGTTATAAAACGTCGAAATCTTGGTTCTTTAATTTGGTATACCTGATAAAATTAAGGTAATTATTTACACACGTCTCTATACGGGTATAAATTATAATTATAGGTTATGTCGCGAGATTGATATTTAACGTCATTGCATCGAGTGTGACTGTGTATAGGATCATATGCAATTTGTTAGTTTCACGTTTGAGACGTTCGTGTATGTCGGCTTAATTCATCTTGGACACAAAAATTATATTAATACACAAAGATAAAGACCAATGTATTCGAGTATGCCTAACTCGAACAAATAATAATAAAGCAAACCGAGAATACAGTCTTGATAGTTTACAAGTGATGTTTTGTCAAACCTATATATTTCTAACATTAAAATTTACCACTAATTTGTCGGTATGAACAAACAAGCAAAGAAGCCGTTATGAATAATATTATACTATATATTACATTGCTTTACATTATCAAGCTTTGCAGGCGCATCTCTTAATATCGTATAACAATTTTGTTATACTTAACCCGATTTCTTTGAACTTCCTTGTTTGCAAAAACACACTAGATTTGCAAAAATAACCGCACAAATTACGACGGTAACACGAACGGCCGTATTTTTAACTGCAAATAATACTACAATGCAGACAATTACTGCAAGAATAAATAAATTTGTTCTCCAAAAGCCAAATTCTTCCGTTTCGACGTTGGCTTTGACTTTAGTATCAACAGATTCACTTTCTCGGTCAGGCATTGAGATTCTTGTTTCTTTGGTGTAGCCATCTTGCAGAGGTCGAATAGTTTCTTTGGTGTGGGCTTCTTGCAGAGGTTGGATAGTTTCCATGGTTTTGCAAATTAATATTTTGGATTATGGGTTCGAGATGCTTTGGAAGCAAGTTTTGAATTGTCCGATAAAATCTGTGTATTTAAACAAAAGAATCAGGGCTCACAAAAACTGGTTTTGATCCAAACTAGGATTCACTCTATGAATTCACAAAAAGGCAAAATTTATTGTGCATGGTGACCGAACGGGCGTAATCGATAGTGATCATGGTGCACCGGAAAGAGAATTGATATTTCTGGACTTGAGAGATTTAATAACTAGAATCGGAGTTCATACATAATTCCCTCCGAGAGTGTCACACCACTGCTATATTTAATCAAATAATTAGGCTGCTTGATCCAAATGTATCACGAGTGAGTAACGCAACAGATAATCGCAAAGAGTGTGCATTTAGAAATGGTGTGCATTTAGAAAGGGTGTGCATTTAGAAAGGGTGTGCATTTAGAAAGGGTGGCATTTAGAAAGGGTGTGCATTTAGAGAGAATAGCAGTCTGTAACGCAATGAGGTATTTTAGTAATAAGAATAAGCATATATTAATTTATTGTTTACTTAAAATATTGGTTTACTGTTGTTTGTTTCAGTTGACTACGTTTTTTAACAAATCTTTGAAGACTGTTTGCATAACAAAAAATAAGCACACGTTTTCTAGATTTGTTAATACACTACTGGCACTAACAACGCTATTATCCCTTTCTTCAGTATTTCCCTCATTAATTTCTCTAAACGTCTCTACGACTTTTCTAATCGGTTGGTCACCAACTAGAATACCATCAGGAATGAACAGAAACTCGTTAGCTTGCATTCAAGTCTGAGAGAAGAAGCTTATTGATTAGTCATCAAGAGTTTCACCATGTATTGCTGCTCGAGCCGTGTGTGGGGAACTCGCAATACAGACTAGTCGACAGCAACAACCGCGAACAACAACTATGCTACTAACAACAATTAATACTAGCAATATAGTTAATAACGAACGATTATTCAAATTTCAAAAAAGAGAATAGTTTTATCTGCATTCCAGAACTAGCCCTACCATCCTTATAAAGTTTACCTATTGCTCTCGGTGATAATCCGCCAGAAACTAAGAAACGTTAAATAATTTTCTATCAGCTTGCCATTTTTAACAAGTTCAAGATCGTAACCATGCTTACGCTTTACATAAATTAACTTTTATTTTGCCTTCCAAGTATATAATATCAGAAAGCTTAAAAATAAAAGTCTTTGGAAAGAGATTAAGATTGGGAAAAGCACCTATGTTAATTTGATTCAAAGCATGTCGTCAAGATTGAATAAAATGATGGACGGGAATGGTTTAAGATAAGCTATTACTATTGGGTAGCAACAAATAAGGCAAGTGTTGTGCTATGAAGAGCATATCTGTAAATTTTCATAAAAATGTTATTCTAAAAACTTTTATGAGCATACCTAATTTTTTATATACTATTTGTAGATTTATCCAAGAAAGCGTGCAAAAGATCAACGTGATCCCAAAGGCATCAAAAAAGTCAGTATGAATTTGCGATGTTGTCGGTATCGACAAGTATTAATTCAAAGAAAATATATATATCAATATGATATGAGGGTAAAGTGACTGGTCTTAATTAAAAAAATACAATTTCTTTTTTATTTTCCGAATTCCCATTCAATCCGTAACGTCCAAGTCCCATATTTTCTTGGATGGTATTCTTCTTCCATAGTAGTTTGTGGTGTTATGAACGTATGAGTGATCAAAGTCTGTGCTGTCAGTGCTCGTTTTGCCAAGATATAAAATACAGAGAGCTGCCATACTTTTTATGGAGATAAGTTTCTGTATTCCACCATTTTATTGACCAAGGAATTAGGAATAGCGATGATTGAGGGATCAAGCGAATAATTCTTTAAATATTGAGCCTGAAAATAATGAAATAATACAATTCAATTTGGAAACTTAGAAAAGCTGATAGAATCAAATAAATCGTATTCCCATTTCTGTTACAATATAATTGTACTACTTCTATGTTTAGTGGATTGTAAAAAAAAAAACAAGTCATTTTGCATTTCAATAATGGGAAAAGACTAACATTGGATAACAGGTTCAAACTGTTGCAATATACCTGCTCCAAATGTTTGGGTAACGTGGTTACGTCATCTACAGTGAAAGTTTGTGTGAATCAATCAATAGTAAAACATATGAAAACAAAAACTTTTTTGAAACATTTCACTGTTATATTTACAATATAAGTAGCAATGCTTTTACATTGATTTGAAGAAAATTGATTGTACTTTTTGAAAAAAAGAAAGATAAACAAAAATACACTATTGTTATAAGGCTGTAGTTTAATAAAGTGAGTAGTAGATAAACGCATATATTCCCACAAAGATTCACAAACTTTTTGGTACCTCCTGTATCTTTATTGCAGCTTGCTTACCTCATATAAATCCTAGATTTATACAGTGACGCAAATTATATACAACATATTCAATTGTAACGGGATTACGCTCGACGCCTTGCGAAGGGTGAAAAGACTGAACTGAGAAAGAGTATATAGAGCTCGACACGACACCAAGCAAAACGTTAATGCTTCTTAGAAGGAATACGGGTAATTAATACCAAGATGGTAAAGGGTACCCCTTTCCGTCGGCTCCAATTTTCCAAGTAATGAGAGCAGCGCGCTTGCTTTGCTACCGAAAGCCAGAGCCATTGTTATATTACCATTCTCAGTTCTAATATAATCGCAATTTGCACAATTTGATGGACGTATGCTACCATCCACAAAATTACCTTTGATAAACACGTGTCGCGAATCCGAATCCTTGAGCATTCTCGATTTTTCCCACTCATCGCTAGACGATACGTAAGCGAGTTATCATATATCTTTGCGGTGGCATTACATACGGTATAATGTCCATCTATATTTGCATTAGGCGTAGTACTGTTCGCATTTTGATAAAGCACTGCATTACCTCTTACTTCTCATCCACACAACCCATCAAAAATTCCAGTGCAAAATTAAACCTGATCATAGATTAGGTCGCAGGCTTGCTTCAATACCAATATAAATACAAGATGTCCCGTATGCTAAAAGAAAGTATCTCCTGTAAATCTTCGCACCAGTTTAGGCCGTTCTGCCGGTGCTAATTCATTTGCGAATATCGAACAATAAGCGGACAAATGAAATATTCTAAAAATCGAAGAGCATTAATTTTATATTCGGGTATGCTAGACGCAACAAGTAGATTTGTCTCCTATAAAAATCATGATCAAGCGTCTTTACGATACTACAAAGCACATTGCAGAAAAAGACAGATGGATTGTGCCTTACATGTCAGTATCATTATCAGGTTTTGTCTTTTTCGGCAGTGACCCTGTAACTCTTCCTCAGGAAACTGAGACCGTTTACGCTCTAACAGTATTGCCCAATACTTATTATTTATAATCCAAAAAGAGTAATATATAAAAACTTAATTGGATTACCAGAGCCAGATTGCAATTGATCTTGAGTGACGCTACTGCTGAAATTATCATGTAGTTCTGCTACTCGAGCAACCATTTCATTAGCATTAATGTTTACTGCCTTCTTCAAAGTTTTTCTCCAGAACTTGTCAACCTGGACTGAATTTGTTTCTTCCTAATTGAACAAAACAGAGAAAAAAAGCCCATTTAGACGTATCCTAAGGTGCGGCTCACTAGACGTATCCAGTGGGTTGTCAGACGTATCTCTAGCACCTCTTGGGCTAGACGCTCTCTTTGCGATTAACATATAATATAGCAGAGTTGTTGTCAAACCCCAATTTTCGAACTGTCTCATTACTGCGGGACTCTATCAAGCACGGATCTTTCCAAATCAGCGTCCACATATGTCTTGTAAACACGATGCTCACTGGCTCTGTCACTAAAATCGGGAGCATAGAACATACTCCATTGTAAAAAACTTTCTAAACACCATGATACACTGTTTTCAAAATAGCGAAGTCTTTGCAGGTCAGACATATTTGTATCAGCAAAGTTCGACGCGTGCCAGGAGAAAAGTGTTAGCCCCGTGATTGCTTAATCATATTACTACCCATAAAAATTTCACGTTCATATGATCGCTAAAGGCGATTAGATGAATTCTTGAAGATAAACATGTCAGATCAACCCCGTCCATTGGTAAAATCCCGGACTATAGTGTGAGACTTTATTCCAAGCTACACATACCGATATGGGCTACAGTCCACACTTTTATGGTCGTACAGCATATTAAATCGTTCTCATGCAGGGGAAATATGATTAACAGATTATGTCATCAGTACACGTTGTTGCGAAATTAAACCACAGTAACAGTCCGAGCGGGCTGATTTGGACTAAGTGTATAAAAAAAAAAGTGTCTGAATTACTAACACAATAACTCATATACAGTATTAGTATAAGGGGACTGTAAGACAAATTTCCATTAAGCGTATATTGGAAATAGCCATCTGATTTTTTTTTTCCGGCTTAGTCATGAAATTAATGAGGTATTGTAATGATTAGAAATGACGAGAGATGACATTAACCAATCTTGTAACTGCTCGACCATTGCAATACATTACAACACCAATAAACCGAGTTATTGTCTTTGACTAGAAGGTAAGCAGCCTCTATATTTAGCAGTTTTGGATTCACATGTCCGTTTTGTGTGTTTGCAGGAAAACAAACAAAAAAAAGCCTCCCGCTTGGGTTGTATGAGAAAGAAAAGAACTGACAGCAAAGAATGTTGAACCATTCTATTTGTTCATTGTTCGCTTGAACAAATACACGTAATCCGTTAAATTAACTTCACTAGACACGATAACGATTATTCAACATTAGTAAATAACATGTTTGTGCTACGCTGTACTTTCTTTAAGCTTGAAGTCAACTTTACGAAGACATTTGTTTTGTGTTTTTACTTTTACTAGTCCGAAGGTTTGTTATTCTAAACATAATATACATACATATTTTCGAAGTAAAGAATATTCGGAGCACTACCAATAAAAACTTTTTTGTCACACCAAATGGTACACTATATGCAGGGAAATTTTAAGTTAGAGATGATACTAGAATTGATCTTTCTGGAGCACGAGTAAAGTAGTGCATGAATAGTATCGTTTCAGGAGAGTAACAATCGTATCTATTGTCTGATATATGAATGCCATCGGTGAGGGCTATACCTTCTGAAAAGATATATAAGCTTCTGGAGGGAAAGTAGCAAAAAAATACAAAAAAAAAAAAAAAAAAAGCAAACAAAAAAACCAAAAAAAAAACCAACCGAAATACTTTCGATAAATCGCCATTAATGACAACCATTAACACTCCATTTTCAACTACTAAGCCTCCTTTCCCAACACCTCTGCTTTATTCTACAGATACTCTTACTTCACACGAACGCAATCTCTTACTTAATCCACCCTATATGCTCAACATTTCCCCTGATTCTCTTATTAATCCAAAACGCAAAAACCAAAATTCAAATCCTCCCAGACCGTCCAATTGTTGGATTATTTTTCGCCAAAATTTTGCAATTGGATTACGATCTCAATACCCTGAAAATTCTTACAGTATTCAAAATGTTTCTAAAATGGCTTCTGAAGATTGGAAAAGTCAGCCAATTTTAGTCAAACAGTACTTCGACACTCTTGCTAAATTGGCTCTGCAGCGTCATAAAGAAATTTACTCTGGCTACATTTACAGACCAAGAAGAGCGAGACAAAGCAGAAGAAAGAATTGGTCCTTTAAAATGATGAACAAAGATAAATTTATAGAACGTATGACTAGTGAAAACAATGCCGATAAGAAAAAGAAAGAAGAAAGAAGGGCTGGTGATAACTCTGCGCAACTAAACGCTAATGAACGACTCCAAACTTTGGACGAATCCGCTTGCTTTATCGAATATGGGCCAGTCGACTACGGTCATTCGCTTGGGCTGAACGTTAACGCATCGAATGAATATATATCAGTTGGATACAGTCAAAGAGACGAGCAAGATTCATCAACTGAGTATTGTGGACTAGTTCCATATATTGATGAGCACGACTCACTGGATGGGATTAGTGAAAGCTTGTACTTTGATGAGTATGGCACCGATGTCACGATCAACAGTGGTGACGTAACTGAGATTAATGATACATTTCGTTCGCTGTGCGGTAATAATGATACGTCAGCCGTTGAATATTATTATCAAGAAATCGTCGCAGGCTCGCTTGAAGACCTGTCATTTCCTCCGAGCGACAGCAACTAGTCGGCTAGTCATCAATTTTGATCGAATAATGCTAGTTCATTTACTCTTTTATTTAAAGCACATCAGTTCTATCTCTCTTCAATAACAATAGGACAAGATAATTCAAACTTCTATCAAGTGCTCGCTCATAGAACTTCTATACTCATTCCTCATAAGATTTATTAGTTTAGGATGCGGAATACGGTTAGTGCCGTGATACCGAATATGCAATAATAAATTAACATGTATGTTGGGAAAGGAATTAACAATACTGGGCACACATGCGTAATGAATGGCAATATGTTCTCACGATAATATACAGATTCCCACGCTACCCAAAACAATGCTAGGGGTGCATGCACATGCAGGTCGGGTCTCTCGATTATTCAATTTGGAAGAAGGCCAAAACTTTCCATCGACAAGTCAAGTCAGTCCACCATGCATTACCGACTTGTCGAGTTTTGCAAGCGGCATATTTTAGGATTCGACAATCGATATCGCCGCTTTTTGTAATGTCAAACTTTTTTACACAATAGTTGAGTTTTCAACTTTGTATATTATATCAATTAATCTCTTCATACGTACTTTGTATATTATATCAATTAATCTCTTCACACGTACTTTGTATATTCATATCAATTAATCTCTTCAATACGTACTTTGTATATTCCTATCAATTAATCTCTTCACAACCTAATTCGTCTTAAATCAATCCAACTGTGCGACAAAAAAGATAATGAAAAATTTTTTGCATCACACAAATCATATCCCGTAACCTTATTATTGTGTGGGTTTATGGATCGGCTGGTTAATTAAGACCCAATATTAATATTTATAGTGGACCTGAAATAAGGTAAGAGATGCAACTATGCTAATATATAATACAGTCACACCTCAGGGACCAATTACCATTCTACTAATAATATCCCAACTGTCACGTCATTTCTATTTTTACGTTCTGCCATATTTTCATCAAGTTTATTTTTATAAGCAACATAAATCAGGCACATTTACGTACGTAATTTGTCAGCGATTGCATAGGAGGAGGAAATACTCGGACCAAAGCCATTAGGGAGTATTCGTATACTTTGATCGCGCTATCTACGCTACATATCATTGGGAATATCATCAACATACTCTTTATCTACCTGTCCTTGAATTGTGTCCAGGTAGGGTTTTTTGAGGCGGAACGCATTTTCTCGCATAAATTTGAGTGTCCGTATTCTAATTCAGCTCACGAATGAAGTTTTAAAATCTGAACAAATAATGAGCCATTTAATAGTGTTGTTGCGTGCGTGCTATGTTATGGGTGCTGATTTTGAAATAGTTGGTTTGTCTATCAAGCAGATGCAATAAAAAGTTTGAAAGCATGAAATGCATAGCCAGACGCCCTTTAATAATAATGGCAAGATTGTGTTATTCAAATAAACAGGTAGTCGAAAATCATTTTTAACCAATACATTGATAAAATGGGGGTATCACTTCACTCACCAATCTTAATCTGTGGCGTTCAGTAATTTTGACCCCCTGAAATCTTTCTGTGGCACCATCTTCAATTATATTATTTCGAAAAAACTGGCCAAATTTATTTTTCTTGAATATTTAATCAGAATGGCCGACTATTTTTCAAAAGCGGCAGCGCTTGCACAAAGCGCTGCCAAGCTATCAAAAAAGATGTCCGAGGGACTAGTCGAGAATGCTCGTGAATTTGGCCTGGAGGCAACGTCTAGTCAGCATTACTTTGACACTTCCGAAGAAAAAATGCTACATATCAGAAAGTATTTGGATTCAAGACACGATAGAGAGAAATTAGATGGTCTGAAAAGATTAATTGCTGTAAGCCTTGTTGATGTTCTTCCCTCATCATGATTCGCGTTAGCGCATGCACACGTACGTTCTCTTTAACTCACAGCTCTCGACTCTTCTTCACACATCGGCATAAAGATGATCTCAAAAGGCCGTGATGTGTCAGAATTCTTCCCAGACGTGGTAAAGAATGTAGCCTCGAACAATCTTGAAGTTCGAAAACTAGTCTATATATATCTCCTTCGATATGCAGAACAAGAACCTGATCTTGCGTTGCTGTCAATAAACACTTTTCAAAAAGACCTCACCGATCAGAATCCAATTATTCGAGCGATGGCGTTGAGAGTTATGAGTGGAATACGAGTACCTGTGATCGGTCCAATCGTTTTACTCGCTATTAAAAAGTGCATCGTTGATTTATCGCCATACGTCAGGAAGGCTGCTGCTCATGCTATTCCGAAATGTTACAGGTAAGGAGATGGATGCATTATTTTTACTCGATGAGAGACTGACATTTGCTTGTGTTGAGAGCTATAAATGCTTTTACCTTATAATTTGTTTCAAATTTAGTTTAGATCCTTCTCAGAAAGATGCATTGGTTGAGATAATAACTACCATGCTTAACGACAAGTCTACATATACAATCGGAAGTGTGATAATGGCATTTAATGAAGTATGTCCAGAGAGACTGGATTTAATTCACCAGCATTATAGAAAGCTATGCAAAATGTTAGTTGACGCTGAAGAATGGGGGCAGATAGCAATAATAGGTCTATTGATTAGATATGCAAGGTAAGCTGTTGTTGATCGCTGTAGTTTTTGGTTTGTATGCATTATTTCTAAAGTGGAGCTTAATTACGGCCAGAACGCAGTTCTTAAATCCCAATCCTCAGGTAATGTTACTTGGGCATCATATCAAATAACGGGCCGTTTAAAAATTTTGTGTGCGGTAACGAAAGGCGTTAAAGAAAGCCTAATTTTTACGTGATAATATTGCAGGGAATTAAGCATTCTACTAAGAAAAAAACAAAAGCATTCTACTCGGATGAGAGTTCTGATTCGTCCTCGTCATCTGTTGTCAAGCTTTGTCCTTTGGATCCAGATCATGACTTACTTCTCAGATCTTGCATGCCATTACTACAAAGTCGGAACACTGCTGTAAATATTAACTGTCTACTAGTTGTCAAATCTGAGGGGCTATACGTTTATGGGTTAATACGAATATTGCATTCTATCAAAGGTGGTTCTATCAGTGGTCAAAATATTTTACTATCTTGCCCCCCAACAAGAAACATATAAAATGGGAAAGTCACTGGTCAAACTACTCCGTTCTCATCGGGAGATACAATACGTTGTTCTCAAGAATATTATGATGATAGCGACTCAGCAGCCGGTGCGTACAAGTCGAGCAAAGACTGTAACGATTATATATGACAAATACTGTGCTTATTAATTATACTTTTTTTTTATTAGAATTTGTTTGAGCCCCATCTCCAGCAATTCTTTGTTAGAGCGACTGACCCTGCCTTTATTCGTGACTTGAAATTAGAGATAATGACACAGATTGCGACTGAAAGTAATATAACGTTTCTACTTAGAGAGCTTCAGGTTGTTGAATAGCTTCGTATTCATATGTGTTCTTATAAAACGTATCAAACATTTATTGATCATACCCACTCATTTTGCATTTAGGAATATGTGAAAAGTCCAAACAAAGATTTTGCTACTTCGGCGATTCAGGCCATTGGGCGGTGTGCAATAGGAATGCCAGAGATGGCCGAGAACTGTCTAAACGGATTAATGAAACTGTTGTGGAGCAAAAATGGTTGGTTTTTGAATAATAGTCGATTCGATTGTTGTATCTTATCCATTCTCTACTAATATGATGGCAATTTATCAGACGCCATAGTCGGAGAGGCTGTATTAGTAATAAAAAGACTTCTCCAATTAAGACCACATGACAATGTAGAAATGATAACGCAACTCGCAAAGGCCCTCGATCAAATAACCGTTCCCATGGCCCGCGCTTCCATCTTCTGGCTAGTTGGACAATATGCACAAAAACTCGAGTTAGTTGCTCCAGACATCCTTCGCAAAGCTGCCAAGGACTTTTCTAACTCGGATGATGTTGTCAAATTACAAGTAATTACTTTGGCTGCCAAGCTTATTTGTTTGCATCCGACAGACCATACGCTGGAATTGTTGTACGAGTATATAATGAATTTGGCGCGATATGACGTGAATTATAATATCAGAGACAGAGCAAGGATGTTAAAGGGGTTGAGGGATGATCAACGACTAGGAGAAAAGGATGGAGATGAGAAAAGTGTGGGGGTATTTGCTGAAAAGATGAAGATGATATTGCTTGGTAACAAGGAGGCGCCCATAGAGAGTCTAAGCATGGGTATGTTCTGATCTGATATGATAATATCGTTGTAATCGAGCACGTTTTAACAGTCTTGTCTTACCAATAGGGTCATGTAAATACACGCTTGGATCAATGTCACTTGTTCTCGACCACCCAATGCCCGGATACGAACCGCTACCCGACTGGTCTACCAAAAAACCTGATCCGTCTGTCAGGAACACAGCGGTATAAATGCAATATGTATATGCAGAAACTTTACGTTTGTTTTTGTTCTATTTCAAACGAGCGCCCTTTTTTTCCATAGGTTGATTCATATGACCGAACATTCGCTGTACAAGGCTTCGGCTCCGACTCATTTAGCCAGTTTACTCAACCTTCCACGTATTCTACACCAAGACGCGACAACGTACTCTACGATTTAGATAATTTCTACGATTCTACCGAGAGCGAAGAGGAGACTGAAGAAGAGACTGAGGAAGAAACTGAGGAAGAGACTGAGGAAGAGACTGAGGAAGATAGTGAAGAAGAGGCTGAGGAGGATAGTGAAGAAGAGAGCAAAGAGGTAGAAGGTAAGTACAAGGAATTAGATGTTGTTGTGAAGTTTAACATATACTTATTGTACACGGTTTTAGCACTACGTTATCATTCTATTGGCGACGAGACGTCAGAAAGTGAGGACGAAGACGAGAGCGAAGAGGAAGAGGACGATGATGAAAAAGAACAAGAAGAGGGAGGAAATAGTAATGAAAATGAAGAGGAAGAGGAAGAAGGTGATGATGACGACGATGACGATGAGGAAGTAGAAGTAACATCAGCATCCTCAGAAGAGAATGATACCGACAACCAACAAAGACATAGATTAATCACAAAGACATCATAACTATAATTTAATCAATATAAGCATCATTGTATTATTGATAATATGCGCGTTTGGGCATTAACTTCATACAATTATAATACTCATTCTGTTGAAAGTGTCTACTCTAAATATTCGTCCCTTTCATTACTTTTCGGAATCATAATAAATGCCCCCAGAAAGATTTATTTCAACCTGACAATGAGAATGTTCGATCAAGAGTCCAGGATAGACGACTCCCAAACATAGAATAGACACGCGTTGTAATGGTCCACGTTCTTTATTAGCATATTAATGCAAAGTTGACACCAATAAAAAGCTCGGATAGTTTGATGGATATCCCATGACTATATGTGGGGCAGACTACAACAAAACCAGACAAAGTGAACATTCTATTTATATTAATGAGAGGCTGATGTGGCAGGTCTAGTAAATAATGAGGTTAGGAGTCAGCTCCCCAAAGAAATAAGCGATAACGCTTTGCAAACAAAAGCAGAGCGGGCTCGGAAAGTATATGCTCTTTTTGATGCTATCGGCGAGGATAAAATAGTTAGAATCAGATCTTTTACTCCGTCTACTATCCTCAAGTTATGTCACGAAAACATCGATCGTGTAATAATAATACTTCGTACTCATTAGTTGTGTAACATGTCCCGGATGTCACTCTCAGTAAATTGACATTCGTTATACTTTGTGCGAACTATACAGTATCTATCACTTGGTGCATTAATATTGAATGACGCTCCGCTGATTCCTTGCTGTATGAAATTTCGCTTTGGGCTTAGAACGACGATCACGACACTATATAGACAGATTTGTTAATAAAGTTCACTATAACCAGGTTTATTATTTATAAAAAATTCGGTTCTTGACGGTGGGGTTCACTACAGCCAGAGTTCCGTTTAACCAGGTTCACTATAGACAGCTTCAACTGTATGTATATTTGATATGATCAGATTAATTAAATTATATCGGCAGTTTGGCCGGCAAATTTGACTTGTTACCAGTGAAAATTTTTTTACTGCGTGCACTCCGCGTAATGATACACTGATACCATTGTTGAAACAATTATGACAGACGTGATATTATGACATGGTGTTGCATAGACATTTATACTTATGCGTGCGTGCGAAAACAATATCATCATCCATATGTAATATCGATATATGCATTGATACTAATACATGATTTGTAATCAATATATAAAACGTAAATCCTCTTTAGAAAAGGTAAATTCTCTTTTCCCTTTTTACGAAATATGGTTACAGAACTACAAGACCCGGAAAAACTAGAAAGCCCGTATTTTAAAATACAAAGCACTCTTGAGCCACATAATCTTGTTAAGACATCTGAAATAATTTTACAGGCAGTGAACGACCAACCGATGTTGACGTATTCCTACTGTCTGGAAATAGTATTTGAAGACGACAAGGCCTTATTTACCTTATGTCTTAATCAAGTCTTGTGGTTCGATTTGTACTTGAGCAAAAAAGATTTAGACGTTGCCGCCAGGATTGCGAGAACATATGTTACAAATACCCGATTAACTGTACCATATGAAAATGACAAAATGGCACTGTTTGAGGTAGAACACAGTGAAACTATTGACAATTCGGCATTTAAATTGTGCGAATATGGCCAAATAAATTTCCGAGAATCGCTAAAACTAATAACTATTACTAGGATAATATAACAAAGGTATTCTATATTGCCGATGACCCGAAACCCGAAAAAAAATTATCCAAAATTTTCAAATCACAAGTCTACTATCATATATCAGTCTTGAATAATAATTACCAATGACTGATTTCTTAAAAACAATAATGTAGACACGCTTGTGCTAATCTTTCAAGAAATTGTTTAGCTTATAATTTTGAGTTGTAGGCTTTCCCTTTTTCCAACAATTTAAATGTTCTGGATTGCAAATTCCGTTACTATGTTGTTTGCAACTAGCAGACATAGATAACGTATAAAAATAAATCGCTTTTCATATAGCCTAAATACTACATAGTTTAATCCAAGCAGTTTATATGCTGCACATCGATATGCGATATTTAAAGTAGACAGTTCCGTATAAATTAGTAAAGAGAGTCTCTGCAACGCCTAATAAATAACAAAAGAATTAATTCAAATAAACCACCAATAGAAGATTTTGAATCGTGTATAACAAGCGATCACATAAACTATTCTACTCACCTCGCTTTAGCGTTTTACTCGTCATAGAAAACTAGAAAACATACCGATTATGAAACACTAGCCATATAAATGTTGTATATAATTTGCGTCACTATATAATTCCCGGAATTATATATATAATTGGTGGCCGATCACCCCGAAACCTGATTTACATATATAATTTGTGACTGATGACCCCCAAATATATCGTTGATACGATGATTGTTAAAATGTAAG